AACACAGACGACAAATTCCATCTTTAGCATCTACAGAGTCGTGAAACAGCATTTGCCCGGTAGCCTTAACGAGTTTACGAGCTTTGTACGACTAATGCTATCGATTACGCTAATTTGTGCGAGCAGCCACCTTCCGCCGCGCTTTCAGGAACCGTCGCTATGAGACGCATACATTGTCGTCATGGTTGTAGCGTGCATCTCCGATCCCTCAATGTTGGAATACCTCAACAGACTCCGTGGACTGATGGAGGCCACGTACGCAACATTCAAGAGCCTCGGGAGTCTGGGCCTGAGTCCAAGGCTCCACTCTTCATCCTCTTTCGACCTCAGCACCATGCGCGATTTGCTTCTTGCTGCAGGATCGAGACAGATTCAGACGTCGAGATTGGCTCACCGACGCTGACAGATGTCGTGCCTCACCGATGGACGCTACTGATGTCTCCTAAATGGCTGACAAGCCACAACCATCGAGCATTGTCTCCAATCAAAACCACTCGGACATTCTGAAACAACAGCGTTCAAACTGTCTTTACACTTTATGTCTAGATTGTGAACACCTGTTTGGTTCGGGAGCGTCATCGTGTGTGGCGTAAGTAGCTCCCGAAGGCTCTAGTTGGTCGAGAATTCTTTAGCCTTCCAAGAAACAACCGCGCCTAGATCTACCACAATCTTCACAGCAACTCCTTTAAAGAATTTGATGACTTAACACCTGGTACTGCACCCGAATGTTCACGGCTGAACGTTGCAGATTCCAAATGCTTCACAACGCGGTGATGCTCGGCCATCCCAAACATCTAGATTCAGCCACGAGAAGCTATGCGCTCATTCATTCCTACTGCGTACCAAAGGTAGAAGACTTGCTTCATGTGGCCAGAACCCACACGTGCAGTACAAATAAGGCCGATAGGGCTCCTCTCAGGACGACATCAAGTTGCTTTATGCATCGATTGCACATCTTTCACAATCCCATGCTCCGCGCAGCCGCTCACACTGCAGCCATCTTGTTCCTTCTTCTTGAAAAATTGCACATAAGTCCCCATCTACATCGCTTACCGCAGGTTCTAAGCGGGCAACACTATCGATTTCTTGCCAAGATGCCTTGTCACATGTGCCAGAGCTCAATTCTTCAGCTCGTCGTGGTACCATAAGCAAGTTGAACAAGAAGCACGTTTTCCCTTCCGTCAACGGGCCGAAATTTATCAAAAGCAACCACTCTTGACATCTCGCTTCCTGAATTTAGCCGATGTTCGTCGTCTACTGGGAGAGGTAAGCAGTTATACCTAGCTGGGAAAGGTATGCTAGCTTTTCGTTGTTCAATACAGCGGCGTTCGACAAGACGTCCAAAGCAACGCCGCATTTATTTTTCACCGCAACTTCATTACCACCAAAGGGTCACCGCTCATATCTCGGCCGCGGATTCCCAATTGATCAGATGACAACGAACACATGCATGCGTCGAACCAACCACCTTTCCGAACTCACTTCGATCACAGGTTTCCTTTTTCCTCTATATCCTTCCGTCCGCCACCGTTGCGCTACCACAAAATTGTGAACAAGCAAAAACCGTCGCCAGGGGCACGACGAGTATGTCGGCAGTCGGCAGTCGACAGTTGATATTTTCTTTTGCCGTTGATGACAACGCATACATACATACATATAATGTTATATACCAAATAGCTTGAGTACCAAGCTTCGAAAATTGGTGATGGCGTCATATGGTGTTTCAGTTGGACACCAAGCGAGACAAAGAGTAGTGGTGTGAGGCTTGTTGGTGTATACATGTGCATATGAGACTACAATATACAGAGGTGTTGCAACCTTTACAGCACCGGATAGTAGCTAAGAAACAAGGATGACATCTTCCATGACGGCTAGATATACACTCTGCAACCTGTACAGAATCAATGCCGTAACTAAAAACTTCAGAATGACATCCCTTGTGCCATGTCCTCAAGTGTGCGACATCTCGAATGGAGAAACATACTTTGAAACAACATGACTTGCTCATCCCATCATATTCAAGCTGGACAGATCGACGCTGTTCACAGATCCTGATATTGCTGATAAACGACGAAAAACCTCGCTACTTTTGCTACTGGCAAAACCAGTTTGATAAAACGCATGACTCTTCTCTCATCCTTGCCATGTTGTTGTGTCTTCTCACATCTAATTCGTCACTCAACATTCAGTTCTCACACACCTTATATATCAGTTCCATAAGCGGAGATCCGAACACATCTACCCGAATACTGCATTACCTAATTTGAATACCATGACAGATATAAACACATGGTAGAATCGTCTTTCGACTTTGGTATTAGGTACAACGACCTAGAGCATACACTATAGATACTGTTCCAAGTTTACTGTCACGAAGAAGGTAAAGAAAAAAGTACTGAGCATGTCCAGCGCCGCTTGCACTCCCTGTACACAAGGCCGATCATAATAAGTCCTACCAAAACACCACCTTCCAAACACTGGGGCGGGATGGGATGTGAGAAGGATGTAAGCGCTAATGTATGGGGTTGACTGAAGACGGGCGCATGACTGTCACGAATTGAACATCACAATAAGTCGCACCGAGACCGTCAAAACAATGTGCACGCTGTGATCATGTGCTACCCAGATTATGTTGTCTAAGCACAACCACGTTCATGTATAGAGGTTCAAATAACAATATGAACGTTGATTGTACTGCAATTGCGAACATGATAACAGACCAGAAACACCACATTTCTCCATGAAGACAAGGAGAATTCATCCTAACATCCTCCTCCAAGCGCAAATCCTGTATGGCCACATATTCCTTGGACCCATACTATCCTACTCTACTGTCATCTACTCCAGACTGAATCAGCCTCGCACATTTGGGATATCGTTAACGACCAAATTCCGACTCAAACACTTTTCCTTCGATCGTCCACAGGCGACGCAAACAAGTCTATTGTCTTCTTCGTCATGACTGCCGTATCTTCGTCAAGAATGGTACCACAACCTTCCAACACGTATGTTGTCGTGCGCGATTGGAGGCGGGGACATTATCACAAGCGTAGAGAAACGCTTACTGTGCCTTCTTAGGGGCTCCCTGTTGTCCGCCAACGTACCTGCGGATGTCAGTAGCATCGCCGGCTTGCTTGACAATGCCCTTGAAGGTAGCCCAACCCTGCTTGGCAGCGGGAGGAGTGCTCTGGTTGGCAAGCTGAGCGTCAATGCGGGCAGTAAGCTGGTTGATAGCCTCCTGGACAAAGCTGCTCTGCGCAACGCGAGCGCGGAAGAAGACAGTGTAGACAGCGAGTAGGATCCATGAACCCTTCTGGAAGAGCATGGCAGAGCCGAGGACGCGGAACCAGAGGAAGATCTCAAGCAGGGCAACAAGAGTCATGGAGCCATCGTAGTACTCCTTGACGAACTTGCCAATAGCCTCGGAGGCGGCGGAGCCTTGTGGCTTGGCGCCGGCCTGAGCAGCGGGTGGGGGCTGGATGGTGGGCAGCAGGTTGGAGCGCACATAGGTAGCGACGTGGAAGACGGAGTATACGGAGAAGGGGAGTATGGCAAGGGGGATCTGGCGCGAAAAGAGCCAGACGAGAGCCATGACTGCCAAATAGTTAGCACGTGCTACGTGGGGGGGAAAGGCTATGCACAGCCTCGTAGAAGACTTACTCAAGTACTGAACGTTCTCATCGGTAGCAAGAGCGACGACACCGCCCTGCTTTCCGGCCCTCATGCGGGCGCGATAGGCCTTGTAGACTACGATGCCGTATGTGACGCATGCCGACAGGAAGGCAGTGCGGTAGGAGAAGGCGGCCCATCGCGAGGAGTAGTTGAAGGTGATGTACGACAAGCTGTATCGCAAAGTAGCGAGCAGCAGGGTAACGTGTCCGGCGAACCAAGCAAACTGGAGAGTTTGGGCAAGGGCAGCAAGGCGCTGGCCCAAAGGCATGGAGGCAGGAGGTGGGGGTGCCATTGTGTGTATTTCGGAAACTGTCGTGTGGGCTACGTAATAGGCAGCTTGCAACGTCAGTAAAGATCTGGGGAAGAGAATGCGGCTTCCTATGTAGAACAGGAGGAATGGCCGACCGCTGGAAATGATCTGCTGCCTTGCGAAAGGATGTCAAGGTGCAATGTGTCCACAGTGGTGGCTGGGTGCTGGAAACTGCTGGTGCTGCCCGGCGTTCGGGACCCGCTCGTGATATTCGCCGTGCCTGATAGGCGGGGTCGACTTACCGATTGAGAAATCAGGTCCGGGACCTTAGTAAAGTTGCTCTGTAGTTGCGAGGATTGTCGACGCAGAGGAATGTGAGAGCAGAGTAATGGTGTGGTTGTACGTTCCCAAGGGAGTAGGAAAGCGGGCAGCAAACCAGAATTCGGGCGTTTGGGGGGTGACGACATGGCATGGCAAGCTGCAATTCTGGAGTGGGCTAGCACAAGCCCGTGCGCCCTTACCACGCCTGCACCCTGACGATCCCCTCAGCCGCCAGCCAGGCCTCCATGTGCCGGCGTCTTCACAAGCTTGTAAGCGTCTTCGCAACAAGCACAATGTCGTCACTGTTGTTTCTCCACCCGAGTCGCATTGTTTGTTGAGAAACATCACTAGTTTGCAATCAGCTTCGCGTTTTGCCCACAAATGAAATTGCCTATGATAGTCTGTAGAGTACATGAAAAGAACCTGTCCGACACTCCTCGCTCCGAACTACGTCTGCCGAATACTAAATAATAGAAAATGCTGAAGGTGAAGCAAGGGAATCGGAAAGGAGCGCAAAGACGTTGGTATCAATCAACAATCCGGACAACTGCACCAACATGTGACACTGCTGTGCATCGTCCCCAATGTTCCATCGTAGTGTATTATCCCTTTTACCGATAGCACCCAGTGGTATCGTCGGCCGCATTATATTAAACAAGGTCTGGTAAGAGGGTGTGAAGAACTGAGAAGAGGTGGCTGAGAGGCGTGTGTCGTCCGGAGCGGGAAGGGAGGGACGATCGTGACGCCGACATGGCGCTTAGCGGAGGGAGAAGCCCTTTCTCTTGCCCTTCTCTTCGATCGGCCTGCCAGACTCGATACGGGCCTTCTTCTCTTCGAGCTCTTGTCGTTGTCGGTCTAGCTGGTCCTTCATCTCCTTGTGACGGGCGTACAGCTCCTCTTCGCTCTGGCGCAGCTTGCTCTCCTTCTCCTGCACCTTTTGCTGGAACACCATCTTCATCTCCATCTCCATCTTCTGGAGCTTGGCCTCGTGCAGCGAGCGCTCCTCCTCTTGCTTGACAGCAGGGTTGACCTCCTTGAACACGCTGGAGTCTTGCTGGATGCCCATCTGTGCAAGTTTCTCGGAACGGTAGTTCTCGTACAGAGCATTGTTGGTGTTCTCCTTGAGCTCTTCCATGTGCGTGCGGATGAGCATCTGTCGTAGCTTGACGAAGTCGCAGTGCTCCTCGTTGTCAACCTCAACAACACCCCAGGGCAGCGCACGCCCGCGAACCTTGCGGCCATCGACGGTCGTGACCTCGGTGTTGGATCCGACAACGGCGAAGGGAACCTTGGCCATGATCTCCTGGTTCTCGGCAATTGTCTCCTCGTCGTCAAGCTCATACCGTGGTCCCTCGAAGATCTGGATCTTGTGGTAGGCGATATCTGCAAGAATCTGTGACTGTTAGCAAAGTCGAAAAGGGGGAGCTCAGAAAAAGCAACGTACCCTCTTCTTGTAGTTGTCGATTTCATCGTCAGTAACGGTGTCGGCCTTGGCAATGACAGGAATGAGGTTGACCTTGGTGTGAAGCTTCTTCATCACCTCAATGTCGATGGGCTTCAGGGAGTGGCCAGTAGGCTGGATGAAGTAAACAACGGCGTGGATGCGGTTGTCGACAATGTTCATGCGGTTGACCTTGTTCTCAGCGTCCAAGTAGGCATCGAACCGCTGCTCAATGTTCTTGACAATTGGATCCCACGACTCATCGTTGTTGATGAAGTCGCCAAAGCCAGGTGTGTCAACGACTGTTAATCTCAGACGAACACCGTTTTCCTCGATGTCGGCGCTGATGGACTGTATCGAAACGGTCTTGGAAATGTCGAGACTCGGGGGCTTGCGCTCCTTGGGAGGGTACAGCGAAGTGTTGAAGAGTGTGTTTACGAGGGTTGACTTTCCGAGTCCAGACTCGCCTGAAATGACACGTTAGCTCCGATTGACAACAGAGGGCGGGGGCACACCTACCGACAACCATGACGTTGAAGTTGAACCCTTTGCGCACACTCTTACGGTGCCACTGGTTGGGCAGGTTCGCAAAACCAACGTAGCCTGTGAGCTTCCTGCGCACAATGTTCATGTCGTTCGCCATGGCAGCTGCGGCCTTGGGGTTCTTCGCCGTGATGGTGTGGACCGCTGGAGAGGAGCCGTTAGACATCGACATCGTTTGATCCATGCCAAATCCGCTGGATGACGCTGGGGGCGATGGGGACGCACGGGTAGGCGGCGCGGGAGAGGTAGCACCGGATTCTAAAGCAATGTGTTAGCCAGGGGCCAGGGAGGGAAGAGAGAGAGAGCATGGCCCGTCGAGCGCAGAAGCAGCAAGCAGTGCAGAACTGCATTGAGCCTGCCGCACTTTGCTGTTTGGCTATTGCGTGGGTGCCTGAGGTGCCAATGATCTTGTAGCTCAGGTGTAGTTGTTGATGTCGCGAGACGGGGGCCGGGGCAAGCTCCTTACCCATGGTGTAAATAGTGTAGTAAACGCAGGCGATGGGCCGTCAAGTGAGGGACTTCTGTAGATGGAGAAGCGATGTCAGCGGAGGCTCTCAATGCATGCAGGCCGTGGTGGTGCTGGCTGGCGTGGCTGCTGCTAGACAAATGTACAACGCGACCCAAGCCAGGGATCTGGAGAAATAAAGTGAAACAGGCGTGGAGGAAGGACGGCGTACCAGTCAGCGGTAGTTATGCTCTCGAGTGAGTGATGCACTCAAAGCAATGAATTGAAGTGGTGCAGTGGGCTGCGAAGGAAAATGGCGTGGTTGTCCGGAGGCTGCGACGTTGGGAAGGGAAGTCGTGGTGCCGTCCGTCGCTGGGTAGGAAAGGGGTCCGCACAGGGATGGGCGCGATTGGAGCAACGCCGAAGCAATGGGCACTAGACCAAAAATCCCCGCGTCACCACTAGCAGCGTGTCGGTGCGGACTATCGCTGGAAACAACACACGTCGAATTGCAGAAAGGCCGGCGAGGGAGAATGTAGGAGGGATGGCAGTTGACACCTTTCACTTTGTCGAATGTTTTGTGCTCTTGTGCACTCCTACAAGAGGCAGTCGCGAACCGTGCTTCCCAAAGAGGTAGCATCACGTGTGGCTAATTAGAAGGCACGAGCAGCGCGTTACTACCTAGTAGACATTAGGTCACTGCTTCATTATGACTATCTGCCATGACTTCGACACCGCCGTCTCATCTCCAACGCTGACTCTCACGCTGCTGCAGCGTGGCACTACAGTACACGGGGTGCCAGACTCGACACCTATCCAATTACGTGGCTTCCCCCTGTATACCCATACCCAGCTCATCATCTTATCTATGCAAATCAAAGGGTATTTTGCGCATGTCCCAAGCAAACAAATCCAAACCAACGCCGCAGTCACCGCGCCCCGCTATGCAAAGCTCGCCAATGCCCTGTTCAACTCAGTCTTGTCGTACTTGACGTACTTGCCCTTTCCCTTGTCGATCTCCCGGTAGCGGTCGTAGAACCTGTTGTACAGTGGCTCAATGATGTTCTGTACCTCCTTGGAAAGCTGGTTCCGCACTTCGGGTTCCATTGCGTACGACTTATGCCGTGTGACAAGGTCGTCGAAGCTTGTGTTGAAGTTCTTGAACTTTTCTTTAATCGCGTCCTTGTCTTTCGAGCTAAGAGACTTCACGATAGCTGCCGAATCTGCACCGCCTGATGTTGGTCGCTCCTTGCTACGGTTTGTGTACTGCACATCCAGTAGATACCCTGATGGCTCACGCCACGCTTCAAGGTACATGGCTGTGCCTTGCTTACGCCAGTCGGCAAGCTTCTTGGAGTAGTCGTCCATGAGTGGTGCGAGTTCCGAAGAGCGGATGATGCGCGTGATGATGGCGACGTTGTTTGCCATGAAGATACCCTGTAAATTCTTGCCCTTCAACAACATCTTTGCTTTTCCAATCAAATTCTGCAGTAGTGTGTCAACGGTATCGGCTGCATAGGACCCGAACAACTTTACGCCGTCCGGTCCAACGTCCAGAGCCGTGGAGGAGTTATTAGCTGTCCCCGAGTTCCAGCCACCCTCTCCCAACGATGCCAATATCGACGCGAGAGGTTCGAGGTAGTTAGTCATCTCTTGCAGGCGTCGCATCGTCTGCGTTGTAATGTCGACAGGACCACCATCGATAGGAACAGCAATGAGAGCCTGTGTTTTCGACCTCGTGTCTTCCAACATCTTGCTCAATGACATTTTCGACGTCTCACGAACCGGCTTCACGCTGTCATAGATCTGGTCCTTCAGCGCTCCCGTCTGCTTTTGAAGTCGCATCGATAGCGTCCGGACCATGCCGCAGATCTCAAATCCAAGGAAGCAGTCTGTCAACAGGTTCTTCTGAATATGCCCGTTCAATTCGCGCAGCGTTTTCGTGAAGTCCTGCAGCGGGACCTGGCACGTTGACTCGTAGACGTCGCTCCATTCCTCCCTGTCAAAGACGTAGTTCAAGTTATCAAACTCTGCCACAAATAGACCCTCTATCGCCTGCACGTATGTCCCGATACCATTAGTACCTTTCTTGTACAGCGCATCTGCCTGCACCTTCCGGGCTGTGCTTATGGTCGCCTGCATGAGACTCCTCAATGTGCTTTCTAGGTATTCACCCCTGACGTCTGCGTATATTCGGCGTGTGGGAGTTTGTGAGAGATCGATTTGCGATAATTGGGCGAATGATTTGGAGATATGCGAATTGATGCTGCGTAGGCTCTGAAGCCTATCTTGGGGTATGCGAGGGAACGGATTCTCTGTGCCATGTTAGTATCTCCATAATCATAAGACACGAATGACGTACGCTTCGCAACAAATTCCAATGCCTGGACCTTCTCTCGGGCGCTATCCTGCAATATGCTGCGGAACACATCCTCCAACTGCTTGTTACCCATTTTCAAGAGCCCGCTGAGCTCTGCGACAGCCTGTTCGTTGGAGCGAAGATTGGTACGCTTGAGATCTGCAAGGCTCATGTTCGTGCGGTCGAGGGAAGCAATGTAACCGTCAAGATCTCCCCGTCCAGGTCCAGCGCGAATAATCCTCTCTTCCTTTGCACTCTCTTCTCTTGGAGCTCGGAGTCGTTCAATTGCGTCTATTATACGATCGACATTCGTGTTGGCTATCTGCAGCTTCTGGGTGTTGCCGTAGATTGGGCCGATTGCTTCCTGGACTGCCTTTCCGCTCGCGTCTAGTCTATTGACAGAGCCTTGGATCTTCTTTGTGAGTGTCTTCATCTTTTCCATGTTGGCGAAGAGCACTTCGACTTCCGCGCTCTCCTCGAGGAGTGCAGCTTTGCGAGGGGCGACCATGGCGACTGCTGGGCCGATGCGCAACTGCCTTGAGGCCTACGTGTACGCGTGGACGGCGGCGAAGGCGACCTCAATTATATGAAGCGGGTGAGTAAGAATGAAGCGAACATGAAGTACAGCATATAATGGTACCAATGAATGGATAACCAATTAGGCAATGCTATACCCTGGTGTTGAATGATGTGTGAGGGGATGCTTGCGGAGAGCTGTCGCGGAGGCAACGCTAAGACCCACCGGGGTCCCGTGTAGATCGTCTCGACACGATTCGCTTTACGATGAACACCCACTCCAGATACTCATCGTACTTGAACATAATATGTGATTGCCGGATCCAGAGCTACGCCGCAGCAAAGCTACATCTTGTCTTTCATAGCCTCGAATGGCGTTCTTCGCGGTGGTTTGATATGCGCTAATCAGCGTTGCCTGTCATCGCAATTCCGCTGTCTCCGTGTCACCTATGTTTCGACGACGCGTGTGCGCCTTAGTACTTGGGGTATCACGGTGGCACATGCAGTCACAGAGGTAGATTATACAGGGGTATGCGATTGACGATTCACTAGGTTATCTAGATATACAGACGCTTGAGGCGGTTTGCATTCTGTATGTGAAAGATGCATCCAGTGTTTTGGCTTTCCTTAGTACAATGAAAGTTGAGTAAAGCTGAAAGCTGGATCTTTCGGGTCATGAAATAAGACCATGTTGAACTTGAGACTTGTGGGAAATGCGAATAAGAAGCAATTTCGAAAAAGTAATGCCAGATAAGCACATCGAAAGCAGAGCTGAAACCACATTCCGCCAATGACTGTGGTCCATGTGTTTGACCGAAGACTGTAGCTGAACACTAACGCACAGGTTAGATACCACCAAGCACCTCGTGGAACTGGGTCCAATTCTCATTCCGCAAAATAGGGACTGAAGCGGTCGGCGGGTCAGGGGCAGGTAGTATTCCGGCCGGTGTCTCGTCTTCCGTATCTTCACGCTTGATCTTCTTCTCGATATGCTCATCTTCACTGTCCATGAAGCAACCTTAAATATCCTGGACACTAATGTCGAAGGCGCTAAAGTATACGTAAAATGTGAATATCTTCATTCTTGATCCAAGTGGGTATAATGCGTCCTCTATCGTTTCCAAAAGCCTAAAAGCCTCCTCCAACTCCTTGTCATCACCTCATCCATCATGTGTTACACAGCCTTCACTTAGCTGAACTGATCACCATGCTCACTCTCACCTCCGACACGACGACCAGCTATCCTTCCTTGGCTCAACTTCCATCGCCATCGTCGTTCCCGCTCGTCCTTTTCTCTCTGCTCTCTTTGTGCTTTCTTGCGTTCGTATACAGCGCGGACAGTGCGTTTTGTACGTTCAGCGCCTTCGCTGTAATTGGCACGAGCGAGGTTCACGACACTGTCGATTTGCTCGGGTGTGTAGACAAAGTTCCACGTTGACATGAAGTCACTGACCTTTGGGTCGACGCCGGGTACTTTTGGGTTGGCAAGGAAAGGGAAGTAGACGACAGTGATGCCAGATTCAGGATGCATGAGCTCCCAGTCTTCGTCTACTTGTTTCGGTTCGGGGTGTGCGGAATCGGACGTGCGTTCTTCAGTAGTGCCAACCCAGATGTTGCAGTAGCCTAAATCTTTACTCTTCTTGCCGCCTTTCTTGTCTTCGGTACTCTTATCCTTGGCTTCTGCGAGCTTTTCTTGAGCTTGCTGCTCGGATTTTGCTTGGGCGCGATCGAGATCTTTTTGCAGGTCTTCCATGGATTCATCATCTGGTGGCCACCCTGCACCAACAGGCCAGCCTTTGATACCACGCTGGCGAGCATACCCATCTGCTACCTTCAACCAGTTGTCAGTCTTGACATCGGCCGAGGCATCAAAGGCGACGAGAATGTCAACATTACGTCCAGGTCGGAGAAGCGGGTAGATGGGTAGGTTGTTCGACATTCCTGCGTCCATGAATTGAAAGTTCTTTTGCTCGAAAATGCTCTCAGGGCACGATGCAGGCAGGAATTCACGCATGCCGAGAGCGTAGTTGGGCATAGCGGCGGGGTCAATGGGGTGGACTTTGACAAGATCATCATCGCGCTCGGAGATCATGGCGTCGATACTGCCGCCGAGACCGGTGAGACTGCGCATGAGGGGTCGGATCTCTCGATAGTAGTGTGAGAGGGTCGCACAAAAGGCAGATCCCCAGATGCCCATCAGCAAGGGGACGCGCACTTCAGGCAAAGCCAGGCCATTGTCCCGCCAGACTGTGCGTCCGTTTTCAAACCGACGACCCATTGCCCAGGTAGGTATGCCAGCTGAGATCTCCTCACACCACATCTCGTATGGCGTAAACTCGAACCATTGAAACCAGGCCTCCCTTCTCGCTTTTGCTTCGGCAGCGATGACGTCTGTATCTGTTTGTTCGGCCAATGGGATTTCGTGTCGTACTGCGGTGTAGATGGGCAGGGGATGCGAGCCGTTGTCAGTGAATCGTCGCTGGTTCGACACCTTGAAGTCGTATTCGCTGACGGAAAGTTCACCCTTCGGTACAAGTAGACGAGCGGCAAGCAATGCGCCGTAGATGTCCACCAGACCAAAATCAGCATCAGGGATGCCCTTGGCCTTCTCCACGAGCCCACTCAAGAGATATTTGTTGGTTGGCGCGCTGACGAGCAGTTCTAGGGCATCAGGTGGGAAAGCAATGTGCACGCCGAGGCGGTTCTTAAGATGTCTAATGATGCGAGCGTGACTGCGTTGGGTGAGATCTGAGTAATAGAGGGTCTGCAGCCAGCAGCTGCCACTGACGCCCGCCGTGTAGGTGACACAGTCAAAGAGACCGTGTTCTTTCGAAGAGAGGTACGACGATGTACCTGCCACGAGCGCTCGCAGACCTCCACCAGAACCGCACATGGCAATAACGGGTACATCATCGGGGTGTATCTGGGCTTCTGGGATGTCGAGATATCGCGCAAGTGCAGCCTTGGTGAATTGCGCCCTCTTCTTCAGAAATGCCTTCTCTTCATCACACAGCTCGTTGGAGACCCTCACCGAGGCATCCCATATGATCTCCGGATTGATCTCGGGGTCGTTGGCTTGGTACCAGATCTCTTCGGCAAGGGAGCCCGGCGCCATTGAGAGTTCATTCTGAAGTTTTCGAATGAAACCAGGCAGGACCTTGACCCAATTGGGCACAATGTAGTCAATGATGGTGTCGCCGAGCTTCGAAGGAGATGGCGAGGCCGGGAACTTGGCCGTTATGGTCTGCCAGGCGGACTGGCTCTCGCCGGCGTTCTCATCCTCTTCGCTGTAGCCCTTGGCAACACGTTTCTGCGATGGCGGATCTTGCTGGCCCGACTTCTCGGCATCGTCTTTGTTTCCCTGCCTCTCAGCGTCGCCTACTGACGTGGTTTCGGTTTGCTTGTCGTCGCTGCCGCCGAAGAAGTACCGCTTGAGAGAGGGCGAATCCAGATGGATGGGACGGAACAGGGGGATTGGCGACGATTCCGACGTGAGATAGCACGTCGCGGCAGTTGCGAGGAGGCATGGGGGGCCATATTGCAGACCGAGTGTAGCAGCTTTGGATCGGTGGGAGAGTGGACGCTTCGTGTGTAGGCTTGTGCTATTAGCATGGGGATATAATGCCGTGATATCCTAGCTTACCCACGACGCGTCCCCCGCAGCCAGAGCTGGCCCAGATTGCGCGTGTTCCTGTAGCCTGCCATGCGCAAGTTGGGGGCAAAAGGAAAGAATTGTTTGTGATGATGTAGCCGTGCAAGTCAGTCACATGGGAAAGTGCGAAAAGCCCACCTGGGCTCATGGAAATGCGTTAAGCATGACGGAGCAGACAACCTGCTTCGGAGGCCCGCAAAATTCCGCCGAAAGCTGGTTTCGGGATGACGCGAGATCGAATGACCGCCCGCACAACGTCTGCCAAGCCATGCAGGAACGCTGAACCTAGCGCCAATCAACTCTTGTCTCCACCTGAGAAGTCATCGCCCACAATGAACACACGCGGAATGCTTGGTAAAGATGATTCGAGTATTAGACATTATGGTGGAGCAGAGGCGCTCAAAACATTAACAATACGCTACCAAAGCATTCTTTTTGTCCAAAAAGAAGTGTAGTACCATCCTCTCCTCAACTACGGTGCAGTATCCATCCTCGGAACCTTCTCTTTCCCTCGATTAACTTGTCGCTGGTCCATGACCGCTCTTGCCATTTCCTTTAACGAAGGCACACCTTTCAACCTCTGTGCAGAAGAAGCCTGGTACGGGTATCGAGGCAGTACCGTAGCATTAGCCCCATTGCTCTCCATCGCAGATGCCGCATTTGTCTCAGATACTGATGGTACTGGTGGTATAGTAGAATGCCGCAGCATTTTTACCTCCTTCGTCGCCCCTACGTTCTTCTGCACTGTGAATGTCTCTCCAGCCTTACATGTCGAGGTCGACGAAGGTGTTGACGGATGCGGCTGCTGTAGCGGCGGTGTCACCAATCCCGTCTCAACCGTCGCATCTGCACCCTCACGCCGTTTCTGGGACGTAATCTCATCCTGCGTTCGTTTCAGACTACTCAGGAAGACCATACCGTCTCTGCCCACTACTCTGTTAGGCGGCGTAGTACTATTGTGCCCCTCTTTCCCCTCTTTCTTCTTGTACGGACCGCGCTTCTTGGGTATCTGGAGTGTAGCAGATTGTGGATGGAGTCTGGTTCCTTGCCTCCGAGTCAGGCACCGGGAATTAGGCCAGATTAGAGGGTTTGCGGAGGAGTTTGAGGTTTGTGGTCTTGGTGGTAGATTGGGCGGATTCATTCGCTTGCTAGCCACGTGTGAAATTGACATTTGACTGGTAAGAGTCGACCGGCGGTTTGTAAGTTGATTTCGTACCCACCCTGGATGCGACAGATTATCCGTCTGTAACTGGTTGATATACTTGGCTCGGCCGTCTTCGGGTAAAGCTGCCGGCTGCTGAAGATGGGGGTGTAGATTTGGGTTTGCTCTATTCGCTTGCCAGGCTTCGAGGTACGGGGCGGCGTCTATGGGAGTAGATTCTGACAGTGAACAGTTGGGAGTGATGTTCTTCATTGCGAAGTCTCGTTCCTTGAAGGCTTTGATTTCGGAGGATGCTTGCGCGCGGAGGATCTCAAGTTCAGCGTTGTGCTGGGCAACTTGTTGTCGACGCCGAGGGCACTTGTGACGGTGTTAGCTAGTCACTTGTATATCTCGACATTGCGAAAAGGTTCGGCTATTGTGAAATGGACGCATGTGTCGGAACAGGTACCCTGAAAGTATTCACTGTACTCTTCGTTATTGCACTTGCAGATCACAGCAAATGTATAGCTTTAGGGTAATCTCATCGGCTTTCTCGTAACACGTCTGGGAATGGGAGTACTTACCTCGTGCACTCCATTCTTGTCGAATTTCCAGTAAGTGTGGCCTGTCTGTCCACAAACACGGCATTGTGGTGGCGGCAGCTTCTTGCCGTCTCGCTGCCTTCGACTGGCTTGATTTTGAGCATCCTGCGAACCACGCCGTAACAGTTCAAAGGCTTCCTGAGAAGAAATCATGTCAGGATGCTCACGTTTGGACTGACGGGGAAGACGAGCAGGAACGAAAGGCTCTATCGATTTTGCTATGTAGCCCGTATGCGACTCCAAAGACTTCTACAATTCATTACTAACTTTCTTGGTGGGGAAGTAAAACGGGGCTGGGTTGTTGAATACTTCGACTGCCGGCATAGTCTGCCACTCGCCCAACAAACTACCCGGAAGACTGTTTTGCTTCAAGAATGCAATCGCTTCAACGACACACTGAGGTGGAGGCTCGTCGGGGTCGATGATGGCTTTAGGATACCGCCTTCTGTACTCTTTGAAATATGGTGGAATTTCGTCGTCGGTCCAGACTCTGGCATTCTCAGCCATGATCGCATCCAGTCTCTCCTTGGTGATATCCAAGATGCGACATACTGGGTAAAAAGGGGATGGATAGTTCTTCTGCGCGAAGTCGTCAAGGATCCGTTCGATAATTTCCTGGCGTATTGACGGCCATAGCTCTTCAAAGGTCACCTGCATCATTAGTATCGTGGGAGATGTTTGGATTGGGAGTGCCATGCCGTAGGAAATGTGACTGTGGTAGGCCAATTTTTCCTCAAACTATCGTACCAGACGCTTGTGTCCGCCTCATATTTGGCTGCGAACTGGCGTTTGATCTTTCGTACTCGTTCATAATCTTCGGCGTCCATAGCCTCCGCCAGCTCTCTCATGCCATGCTTGGTGAGTTCTATCGCAACTGGAGGCGATGGTGGGGCATTGTCCGTCAGCGAGGGGAACGCTGCTGGTCTGGGTGCGGAAAATGCAGGCGAAGGTCCATCCTCCAGGGGTGTTGCTACGCGCTTGGCGGTTTTGTTGAAGTGTCTCGCGCGTTTATTCTCTGGCGAGGCATTCTCGCGACTGGGTTTCTTAACGTGCTTAACGTGGGCCATCCCACGAGACTTTAGAGGCCTCCGGGGATCACTTGTGTTTGGGATTGTGGCGCGGGGTACTTCAGGCTTGTCCTTCTCTGGCGATGGGTTTTGTGAGAGGTGAGGCGCGCCTGTGGGGAGAGTCAAAGGGTTTGGTGCGCCGGGGGTCGCAGTCAACGTATTTGGGGGTGGAGACACTTGTGAATCGATGACCGAATCTCGACTCTCAGACCTTGGTTCTGGCGAACCGCTGAGATCTGAGTCGTCCGACTCATCATAACGTGCTGGTCGTTTCAACTTGGCCTCGGGTCGAAGCTCATATGGCATTTCTTGAGACTGTAATGATTTGGTGTAAGCGTTGATTGGGTACCGATACTCTGTAGTCCGTCATAAATGAGAAAGATTGCGGGTCTCTGGTATGTGAGATCCGTGGAAAAGACTGTATCTGCTACCTATCCAATCCGAAGGCACCGCATCGTAACTACCGTGCGTTTAGCGAGCAACGGCGACCTCTAGGAGTTCAAGTGAATGCCAGTGACCACTGACGCGACAGAAATATTGAGAATGCATCCGGTGAACAATACGCGTCTTAGCGACGCTATAGTTACTAGAAGCTCGTTTAGAGGTTGTACTCTAATTACCACTCTGAGGCGATTAGTCCTGGGATCTTACTGACCAAGAGGCTATTACAGCGGAGCAAACGTTTTCTGCACCTGGTGCAGTCATTGCGATAGTCAAAGCTTCTCATTCGAGAGCACCTATTCTTATGGCTATTGTTTGAATCGCAAAAGTCACGAGTAGCTCATCCATGATCACCTCAGCATAAGAACGAACCTGCTTGCCTATTAGATAGCATCTTTTTTCTGCAGAAGCCACGTACCAGAGAAGGATATCCTAAGCAGGTGCCCACAATCGTCCCATGTGTCATTTACGAAGTCACGTCATCGGCTCAGGGCAAGCAAAGCCGTCTAGGAGAACGCAGTCATATAGGTTTCGCAGAAGCACTGATTGAAGGAGAAAATGCAAGGAAATGTAGAGCGTAAAGTGTTTCAGAAGAGACAGAACCAGTTGCGGTTACTGGCCAGGGTTTTGGGTAGCCTGAATGAAAAGGCCGATGTGCTTACCCATTCCATAGGAGTGCCCAGCGATACTACGGATACAAGTAAGTCTTCTGATGCAGAGCACCGCTTGATAACGCCTTGAAACATGCAGGGTATAATGCTAGTGAACGCCTGATACAAAATCAACGAAATCGCCAACTGCCAGAGGATCATGTCTACCGGTCTTGGAAAGGAGTAACGTCGCGCCCCGTAAAACGGAGCACATCCGACGCATCCATGCCGTCTTCCATGTTCGTATCGTCGTCGCCGTCCCTTGTGTCTTCAATGCCTCGCTTTTGCTTGCTTGACGCGAAGGAAAGGGACAGTGATGCAGGCTGGGCAGAGCCGTTACTAAGACCATTTTGGTGTGGCGTTTGCGCGTAAGAGGCGGCGATGGAGCGTCGGGCAAGGAGAATATCCCAGTAGGAGCGCAGGATGTTCTTCAAGACGTCGTCGAAATTAACGCAGAAGCGCTGCGCTTGACAGACCTGCATAGCCTTGATGTAATCGATGTTGTTGAGCGTCTGCATCAGATAGGCTGCGACCACGGCAGCTGACTTCTCATTGCCAGACTCGCAGAAGACTAACACTTTGCCGAGAGTGGCCTGCCCTGTTGTCTCCAAGCTGTGTTGTCGTACCCGTGCGATGTGCGAGTTGATCATGCTCGTCGCGTCCGGGAACCTGGGCGTGAGGCTGTAGAAGCTGGGAGACTCGATGCTGCCCACCTCCATGCATACCTGGGTAGCAGCTTGCATGGCGCCCGACATGCTGTTGGCCTGGGCACGAACAGCTAGTACCATGGTGATGCCCTCTCGCTCTAGAAAAGCTTTGTCCCTGGCTGCCACCATAGGACCAAGATAGACCCACGGCAGTATCATTTGTGCCTGTCTCCGCCGCTCGTATGCCCACTCTAGCAGCGTGTTCTTCTGTATGATGTCCTCGAGGTCCAACTCGTTCAAGAAGCTCATGTCTACATCCCCTCCAGGTGTGCCACCAAGAGACAAGCCTGGCATGTCGGTCGTGAGCGTGGGAGGGGGAACCACAATGCGGGGGGCTGTGGGGAGGCGGTACGAGTATTCGTGTTGGTTGCGCATGTGCCCGTTCGGGAGGTCAGACAGAGTCTTCTCTTCGCGTATTGTCGCCATGGTTCTCGTTTGGGACCCGTGGGTGGGGTGTTGAGGGGAGCGTGTCTTGTTAGGAGCAGACGGCGCGAAGGGCAGGGCTTTGTGAATCCGGGCCGAAGGAATTACTTCTGGCACAGTGAATGATGACACGATAGTGCGGTTTATTAGAGGCGCGTCTGAGGCAGGCGCGAGCCCAGGCAGCAATACGCTCAATCGGGGAGTTGCAGGTCGGATCAGATCTCTCGTAATTCCTAGAGCAGCCAAACAAGACACCCTAAAGAAGAAGAGATTGGTGGTTTCAGACCGGGCGCAATACACTTCATGGCGAGCTTGCTATGGCTGGGTACCGTTGACCACATGGGAGTGGGAGCGCGCCACCGCGCCTTCTCATCCGCGGCAGTCGCTAGCCAAAAGGAGGCGCCCGACAGCGCTGACGTAACTTCCCCACCCACTCGACATCTTCTAAGCTTCCTCATGTCTCACTTCACCTGCACCGTGACTCGTCGTGCGACCCAGGATTAAACACACGAGGCTGTCAAGATATGCTGGCAGCTTCGAGCCCTGTGGCAGTTCTCGCTTCGCTTACCATGCAAGGGAACGGCCGCAGCGTGCAATCAACCGCGCAGAGCGACCCACCAGTTTTTGATGAGCTTCCTCTTGAAGCGTCTCGACCGTCTTATATGACTATTTTGATTTGACATGTCAAAACCAGGCATGCGTGCGTGTAGCCAAGAGCAGTTTGGTGGTACATGCAATATGCAGTATTCTGGTTTGCGGGCAACACGCACTGCATGCTCAGGGTTAACTTATAGTTGATCAGAGGCATCCTGGAATACGTCGACTTTCCATAAATCTCTCACTGTCGACTCTCCGGTCATTCGCGCTCACGTAGTACGACGTCGGACTCTTCCATATGCTTTCTACACTCGTTATAACTTATGACAAGATGACCACAATTAAAACCAACACCGACGTGCAGCTTCGCGACAGCGAGTCACACAATACCACTTCCACAGCTGAGAAGATAGGAACACCCGAAGACCAGAAAGACATGCATAGAATGGGGAAAACGCAAGAATTGCGCCGGAACTTCCGTTTCGTTTCCATCTTTGGATACTCGATGATCTTAATGTCTACATGGGAGACTGTGTTAACGTGAGGATATGTATTGGGTCGTGTGGTGGCTACAAACTGATGATTGTTAGTACTTTGATCATACCATTGACGAACGGCGGTACTGGCGGTGCGATATTCGTCTTTCTTGGAACTGCAGTTGGTATGGGCTTTGTCATCGCATCTATGGCTGAGATGGCTTCCATGGCCCCCACGTCAGGCGGTCAATATCACTGGGTCTCTGAGTTTGCACCACGAGAGCACCAGAGGTTCCTGAGCTATGTTGTCGGTCAGTATCATGCCTTGAGAATCGATACACTATAGTAGTCTAACGATGGTTTTAGGCTGGCTGTGTGTTCTTGGCTGGCAAACAGGTATCGCCTCCGTTGCTTTCCTAGCTGGCGGCCAGATCCAAGGCTTGATCATTCTAAACAACAACAACAACTACGTCCCAGAACGTTGGCATGGTACACTCCTCATTGTTGCAGTCGCGAGCTTTGCCATACTGTTCAATACGCTTCTTGCACGCAAACTTCCCCTCGTTGAAGCCACAGTGCTAGTCCTCCACATATTTGGCTTCATTGCTATCTTCACTATCATGTGGGTCCTCGGAACACACAGCAAGCCTAGTCAAGTATTTGGGTCTTTCCAGGATAATGCCGGGTGGGGTAACACAGGTCTATCATGTCTAATTGGCCAACTCGCTCCCATATTTACATTACTTGGATCAGACGCAGCAACCCACATGAGCGAGGAGCTTCAGGATGCATCCAAGACGCTGCCAAGAGCCATGATCTGGACAGCAATTGTAAACAGCAGTTTAGGTTTCCTGATGCTGATCGTCTTCTGCTTCAGTCTCGGGGATGTGGAGAGTGTGCTTTCGACTCCGACTGGCCAACCGCATATACAAATCATGTCTAATGTTACCCAATCGACCACTAGCACCACAGTTCTCGCGTCCATAATTTTCATCATGGCAATATTTGGGTGTGTGAACAACGTTGCAACGTGTTCGAGGCAGTTGTTCGCTTTCGCACGCGACCATGGCGTCCCCTTCGGAGCGTTCCTTTCGCGAGTGCAGCCTGGTTGGGACATACCCTTCAATTCCGTCGTTGTGTCTTTTGTTTTTTCGATCCTTCTCTCCTTGATTAATATTGGCAGTACTGTGGCGTTCAACAGTATCGCTTCACTCGGTACATGTGCCATGTTGTCGTCCTACATCATTTCTATCTCCTGCATCTTTCTCAAGAGGTGGAGGAACGAGACCTTACTGCCTTGCCACTTCAGCTTAGGAAAGGCTGGTATCTGGATCAATGGCATTTCTGTTCTTTACCTTTGCGTGGCACTATTGTTTGCCTTCTTCCCAACGTTTCCTTCTCCTACTCCTGAGTTGATGAACTGGAACGTGCTTATCTATGGGGTTGTTGTGATATTTTCCCTGGTCTATTTTGTTGTTCAGGGCCGGAAGATGTATGTTGGACCAGTCGAATATATCAACAGGAATACCCTCTAGTTTATGCCTGTTCGAGGATGTTTAATTGGACGAGGTGGATCGATATACGTATAGATTGAGCGATTCTAGTGTACATTCTACAAACTATATACTTCACTATCGGCAATACCTTCTAGTTTCGCTCCGGCCATGCATCAACCAATCCCTCGTAAATCGTCACATTGCTGAAGGTAGCATCGCCACCCTCGACGTAGAAACTAATGTCTCTGCTATCCGCATACCAGCTCCTCACCCAAGTACTGATCGCAAATCGATCGTTCGCATGCACCTCAACAACACCACCGTCGACCACAATCGTTAATTCCAAAGTCTCAACCATTGTCTCATTTCCATATCCACCCGCAACATCGAACAAGCGAAACTTACCCGTCTCAACCTCGGTGAGGAAACCATCCGTAGTCTGCGCCGCGGCAGAAGAGTTTGAACGATCGATGATAAGACTCTCATTACCGAACTGGTAGTAGATATTGGTAGATTCCTGGGAACCAGAAAGGATGGTGAAGCCAGCTCGCAGGGAGTCAGAGCGCGAGGGGAAGGTTATCGATGCAGTCATCATCCAGTGCTTTGACTTTGGGCTTTCATCGAATTTCGTCACGCTCGCCATGGATCCACCCGTTTGCGTAATGACATTGGTGGCGTTGTCTTGGAATGCGGCGTAGGGTTCACGAGCGATCTTTTGGTGTAGAGTGGCGAGGGTAACGGTGCCGTTGTCGTGTTCGTGATCTACGCGCCACGAACCTTTCTCTCGGGAGAGCTGGTTGTCGACGACATTCAAGCGGCCGACGCTAAGCTCACGTGGGAGTAATAGTGATCCTGTCCAGTTTTGCTGGGCAGTCGGGAATTCGTCAGTCAAGGTGCCATAGAAGTCGCCAGTCAACCAGAGATATGTGATGAAGCGATCAGGCGCACCACTTGCTTTGCTAGCTTGCGAGTCCGCATATAAGACTTTACCAGCCGCTGCGTAAGCTGAGCGCCCAGCATCGAGTCGTCCGGACATTGTAGGCTCGAACTTCAGTTGACCGTCGACAAGCTCTTGCTTTCCAGCGACCCAAAGCATATCCCTGTTGTCCGAAACTTGAGGTACAATGGGTTCGTAGCTCCATTCCGCGCCGATTGTGGCGAAGATCTCGCCTTCCTCATTAGCACCTTGCTCGTCCAGGGCGAAGTAGTTGGCGACTTCAAAGTTGAAGCCCCAGCGCCCAGCCCAGCCCGTCTCTGACCATGTCGAGTTTGCTGCTTCGTGCCACCATTCACCCAAATACTCCCACGTCTGGAACAAATCCGCATCTTCATCATCATATTGGGCGTACAAGAAGAGACTTGGGCCTTTGCCATGTACGCCGCCAGAAATGACTGTATACCATGTTCCGTTCCGCTTACCCAACAAGCCATCAACCTGCGAGTTCTGAAACACGAATGGATCGCGGAATCCCGTGACGTTGACAGCGAATGGTGGGCTGGGGATAACCGGTCCAAATTCTGCTTTTGTGAAGTTGCTTCCACCGTCTCTAGCGAACGCGAGCGATTGCGTCTCGCTCCCTTGGGTGTACCGAATTGTCCATTGTATGGGTAGAAAGCTGACGCTGGTGTATAGCAACGTTGGTGTGCCATTAACTCCTCTCTCAATAACACTGCCGTCAAAGACAGCGACGGGGTCATTGATGCCGCCTGCACGGATGAATGGCTCCGAATCGGGGTTCACGTCCCTGTAAGTGACTAGGTTGTCTGTAGTAGCACCCGATGCTCCCAAATGTAGGTATCCTACGTGGAAGAGACCAGTTTCGGGATCGGTGTAGTGCATACATGGATCTCCGATTTGTCCAAACGCTGGAAGAACGTGTGCTTTTGGCCGCCATGTGTCGAAGAGAGTCGAATTGGCTAAGATGGACAGATTTGGCGGAGCTGCATTGTAGTCGATGGATTCTTGACGAGGGATGATATGGCTTGTCGTCAGTGCTGCAAGAGACGCCAGAACGGTTGATGAGCGCTTCATGGCTGCAAAATGCTCGAACGAATGAAGTATTTCCAGAAAATTTCGACTTACCGTGCCATTCTTAATTGCTGGAACATGATGCTACTTACTCGTGCTTACCCGCATAATGACGACGATGGTAAGAAAGCGCACAAATACTTCCCCGCAAAGGCACCGGGAGATTATTCGGTACGATTTGGTGGCCTCGCTGATTGGCTGGTGAGGTTGGTCGCTTCACTAGCGAGTAATGTGCCAATACGTCGGACCGAGAAACGGCTTGGTAATATCGCGGCATGTCGTGATGCAATGCCGGACATTATGATATGAACGCGCCGAAAGAGGCTGTGTGAAGTATGAGTGCTGGCTGGTGCTTAAAGCGGTTTTGCCCTTACGTGCATACATCTTACGGCTTCTGTTTGGGAAACATGAACAGTACATCACCACCTTCAACTCCGGCCTTGCTCAACGGGTTGCCTTCTCCTTGCGTACAATTTCCTACTACCTCATCAAACCCACATCGCAAATAGAACCGTTCGTTTCCTTTACTAGCTGTGACACTCGCATGGACGCCCTCTTCTCTCGCGCGATCGAGGCCCCAACCGACCAGTGCTTGTCCGAGCCTCTTGCCGGCATAGTCTGGATGGACTCCACATAGATCGAGATACCAGTTGTTTCTGCGGTCACCGTCCCAGTGATGCTTAAAGAAGGGATAGGAATCGTTCAAAAGATTACGCTTGCTAGGATCTAGAGCACGATTCTGGGTTGAGGGAAGGGGCTGGAAGACATCTGTGCCTGTAGAGCCGTCAGCATACTTGTCTGATTAGATGTATTACAGAGGCACTTACCGACATCAACCCACTCGCTCTCCACTCTACGCTTCCCTTCGTCGTCGCCGTCTCGGCGCCAGACAGCTACGCCGGCAACCTTTTCCCGTCCATCTACTGTTGTCGTTGCGACAAACAGTCTTTCGTTGGTTATCTTCCAGTGTTTTCGTAGGTACTCTGACCAGAATATCTTGACATCATCCGGATACTGGTCGCGGTACGGATGCATAACCTGACCAAAGAGCGACTCGTCGAAGAATGCTTTGGTCAAGAGAGATGCCATGGCGGGCTCGTCAGAAGGTGTTGCAAGCCGGATAGTCATTGTATGAGGGGTGCTATGGGAAAACGGTGAAACAGGCAACAGGACGGCACGTCGACATTCAAGAGTGTGAGGATAGCTATATATGCGCGCGAATGTAAGTAAGACTTTCTAAGGACGGCAGGTGGTCCAGAAGACAGAGTGGGCGTGGAAGAGATTCAGATATTATCAGAGGCTACAAAGTGCTTCGCTAGCCAGAAAGTGACAGGGCAAGTGATCTCTCGTAAGCGCAGAGGAAGCGACAAGGATGTGGTCCGTTGATTAACTTTAAGAGAGACGCTCCTCGCGAGCTCTATTGGTAGCGTGGTGACAGTTTGTCGTACGGTAAGGCTGACTGTGAATTATAGCCGCGTTACAGCAGAGCAAGCTGCTTGGATACTCTATGCTGCCCGGGCAAAAAGAGATATCAGTGTTACATCCAATGATCTCTCGAAAGGCAAAAAAGATATTGGGTCCTGCCGCGACTCGAACGCGGGGCCTCTCGCAAGCTGTGCTCGGGTTTACCCTAAGCGAGACTAGGAAGATGTTAGATGATGAAGAATTGTCTTGAGACTGAGTAATACATACATCATACCACTAGACCTGGGTCTTGTTAGATGTGTTGTTGACTGTGAATGATTGCTGTGAACTTACCACAGGACCAACACGTGACTTTGATGGAAGAAAGTTAAATCAATATATAAATATTGTGCGATTTACATGAGCTCGGCTGGCGTGGGCTCAGGGTTACATTTATGGATGCTGCTCCACCTGTACCGAAACCACCAGAACATCAGTCCCACCCAACCCATGTGGGGGGATTAGTCCGGCTACGGCAGCCTAGAACTGCGCCCTTCAACAAAGACATCTCGCAGGGCACATCTACTTATGAAGTGAGTCAAGCCACGCTGCAAAACTAGAACTCACCGACTTTATCCTCGATCTCGACTTGTCCAACCAGACTGCGTTACCCACTAGAAATTTAAAACTTCAAGTAACTCGATATGTCAAAGTTTCCGAACATTCAGATACGCGATGCTGAATTCCCGGGTGACAAGGAGGTAGTGGGGCAGCTCTTCAAAGCATACGCACAGTCATTGCCTGTCAGCCTCGACTTCCAGAACTTCGACCACGAACTGGCGGAATTACCTGGAAAGTATGCATCGGAAAAAGGAGGGGCGCTGTGGCTACTAAGCTCCTCAACAGGAAACGGAGACGCCGCGGCAATGCCGACTGAAGGCAAGAAGGCCGGCTTCAGCACCGCAAGACAAGATGAACAGGCTATAGGATGCATAGCTATCCGACCATTCTTTACGACGCCTACCACCACTGCATCTGCGACATTGCTAGCACATTCAACATCACCACCTACCAAAACATGCGAGCTCAAGCGACTCTATCTTGCACCAGAAACGCGGGGTCTGGGTCTTAGCAAGCCATTGATGGAAGTTGCCATCTCGCACGCGAGAAAGCTGGGTTACAAAGAGATGCTGCTCGATACGCTACGAAACATGACGACCGCGAGAAAGATATATGAAGGCTATGGATTTGAAGAGGTCGATAGCTATTACGAGAACCCGAACGATGCCGTGTTCTATCGCCTGAAGCTCTAATAGAGTGCTACATGTACATGTATGCTGGATACGGTAATCGCGTCGCGTTGTGGTGTAACCAGAGACATGACGCAAGCGCGTCGGGATGGGAGTAATTTAAAGTTCAGGCGTGATCGCGCGTCGCGACATTCGTCATCGATTCTTCGCTTAGCGCGTCCTCGCCTTTCATCGCGACCGCGTCCCGTCGAATGCGGTCATCGCCATCTGCCCCTGGCGCTACTTTCAATACCATCTCTCTCTCACACTGAGCCTATCTTTCCCTACTGCCTTAGACTATACACGACGTGACTCCTTATCCTGCTACGAGCGTAATGCCTGCATCACATTCCATCCCTGCGTCATCACCACCACCAGCCGACATGGAGACAGAGAGCGTACCAAAGTCGATGCAGCAAGAAGAACAGCGCATGAGGGCGCAACGCGAAAAGGACGATGCGAGACGTGATGCCAAACTCGAGAAGGAGAGACAGGAAGACATCAAGAGTGGCAGGGAGGTTCTAGACAAGAAGTTCCAGCAGTTGGAATTCTTGATGAACAAGAGCAAGGTCAGTCCGACTACCTGAATGGCAAACTATATGGTCGTTGACAAGAACTGCAGCTGTACGCATCAGTCATGCTCGCACAGATGCAGCAGCAGGAAGAACAAGAAAATGCGCAAGACAAGCAGACAAACGGCCAAACCTCGAAGCGCGAAAAGATCGCCGATACAACAGCAGCAGAATCGCAGCGACGGGCTACACGCGGGTCTGTGGCCAACGGTACGACAACGGCGAAGAAGGAAGAACAGGATGCGATACCGAGGAAACGACAAGGGAGGCCGAAAAAGTCAGACACAAAGACTCGTGGAGGGCCGAAGAAGCAAACCTCTGATATTTCAAGCTACTTTAGCAAAAAAGACTTGGAGAAGAAGGCAGGCCACCAGGACGTAGGAGAAGCATTGAAAGAGGCGGCGCAGGAAGACAAAGATAATGTGAAAACAAGTGACATTGGTATGACAGACCTCAAATCCGCGCGGCAACCCAAACTGGTTACTGGAGGCACCATGAGGTCATACCAGCTCGAGGGACTGGAATGGATGGTATCACTCTACAACAACGGCATCAATGGCATCCTGGCGGATGAGATGGGACTGGGCAAAACCATCCAGACTATAGCGATGCTCGCACATTTGTGGGAGAACAAGTCATATGGACCTTTCTTGATTGCTGCGCCGTTGAGTACCACAAGCAATTGGGTTGCAGAGTTCGAGAAGTGGACACCCAGCATGCCGGTGATGCTATACCACGGCGATAAGAAAGAGCGCGAGAGACTGCGCAAAACCAGGCTACGGAACCCAGGCACTGCCGACTTTCCTATCATGGTCACCAGCTACGAAATCTGTATGAACGATCGCAAGTACCTGACAAGTTTTGGCTGGCAGTTCATCATCATCGATGAAGGACATCGCATTAAGAATCTCGACTGCCGGCTGATCCGCGAGCTGCAACAGTTCCAATCTGCGAACCGTCTACTTATTACTGGTACGCCACTTCAAAACAACCTTGTGGAGTTGTGGTCGCTGCTTCATTTCCTTCTGCCAACAGTATTTGACAAACTGTCTACATTCGAGAGTTGGTTTGACTTTTCTGGGCTGAAAGACAAGTCGAGTTTCGAACAATTACTATCAGAAGAGCGACAGCAATACTTGGTGAAGTCACTCCACGCCGTGTTGAAGCCATTTCTACTGCGTCGGGTAAAGACGGACGTCGAAAGCCTGATGCCCAAGAAACGCGAGTATGTGTTGTACGCGCCGTTAACGTCGATGCAACGCGAGCTGTATCAGGCGATCCTTGACGGCACCAGTCGATCCTATCTCGAAGAGAAGGCTGTGGAGAGGCTGAGCATTGGCCTCAGCAGCCGAGCGGGGACGCCTTTAAGTATCTGTAGTACTAGTGGCGGTCTTAAGCGCCAAGCTTTGAGCAGTAGGGCAACGCCCAATAAGAGCACGAAGACGTCTCGTGCAGGTACCCCCGCTTCAGTCGCCTCAACGAGAAGCCGGGGCAGGTCGAAGAAGAACTATGAAGAAGTGAGTGATGATGAGTATTTCGACGGACTGGACAAAGAAGAGTCTGAGGAAGAGGAGGCAGAGTTGAGTTCCGACGCCGAGGACGAGAAGATACGAGCTGCGACGTTCGAAATAGCAAAACGTCAGCTCATGCAGAAAAAACTAGGTAACCCCATCATGCAGCTTCGACTGTGCTGCAATTCGCCATACAATTTTTTCAATCCTTTCATTAAGGCGGATACAGATGGCGCTGAAACGTTCGCCTCGGAGACAGAGCCAGATGAAACACTCGTGTCAACATCCGGCAAGATGCTTCTACTCGACTCACTTCTACCCGAACTAATAAGTCGCGGTCACAAGGTCCTCATATTTTCTCAATTTACTACTACCTTGGATCTTATCGGTCACTACCTCGACTTACGGTCATGGAACTATGCCCGTATTGATGGTTCAGTTGCACAAACAGATCGTCAAGACCAGATTCTAGCCTTCAACAAGCCATCGTCTTCCAAAGAAGCTGCCGACATCTTCATTCTTTCCACTCGCGCTGGTGGTCAGGGCATTAATCTCGCGGCCGCAGATACAGTCATTCTATTTGACAGCGATTGGAACCCTCAACAAGATCTACAAGCGATGGATCGCGCGCATCGTATCGGTCAAACGCGCAATGTCATCGTCTACCGTTTCGCGACACGTAACACTGTCGAGCAGAAACTCCTCGAATCTGCTGAAGCGAAGCGCCGGCTGGAGAAACTTGTCATTCGAAAAGGCGGAGTACGCAATGATCGGGGCGGAACACGGGGGAACGATAAGGAACAAGAGGTCGAAGAATTACAAAAACTGCTAAGAAGAAGCGACGGCGAGAAGTTTGATGTCGAAGGCACGGAAAGCGGCAAAGTATTGCGAAAAGAGGAGCTGGAAATTCTCTTGGACAGGAGTGATGAAGCGTATGAAAGAGCGGAGAAGGGACTGGACATTGGTGGGGAAGGAGCCGTTTTCCAGGCTGTAGGGAAGAGAGAGGAGGGTGCTCTCATGGAAGGATTGAGGGCATGATAGCGTCCATAATAGTGTCACTCTCCGATATTTTTACTCGGGTATTCCGACTGGAGGCTTGATAGTGTTGTGGTTTCGTTGGTAGATGCTTGGTAGCTGAGTCTGTCACCCACGAGGGGGTCAGCGCGTGATAGCCTTGTTAGGACTCACTATTTTGCTTCCATACCACATGGTGTTCTCAAATCCGCCGAATCTACCACCAAATGAGTTCTACCACGTTGCATTGGACATACGGCTCTTTAGTGAGTCTCGTCAGCCGACGAAACCAGGCTGTGCGAATTGCAGCGGCTGATTTCCGTTTCTAGAAGACGGCCAACTTACCCGGTAAAGCAACCCCACATCAGATGGTACCTGGCATCGAGCATTACTCTCCATGTTTCCACAAGCCTTCGCATGAGAGCTCCCGGCATGCATGTCGTTGCCATGTCGACCCTGGTCCTCTTTCGGTATTATCGGCATTTCATATTTAGCCTCTTTCGACTCCCAAATAAAGCTTCTAGTTGTACGGGTGCACGTGGACAGGTGCCGAAGCTATCTGAAATGCCCCACCTCACCACTGGAGCTGTTTCATGGAGCATTTATCTTCTGAATTGTGTGATACCAACTGAGATCGAAGAGCGTTGGCAAGATTCACACTCGAGACCGCGACACTTTGGATGCATCACCGTACTCCAAAGTCGTGATGCTCTGGCCACTTTCTAGTTTTCCAGGAAGCTTCTATGCACCCATTTGAACATATGCAACCGCAAAAGGCCCCACAAACATATTCGTCAGTTGACTTCCATATTAGCAATAACGTGGATACCTAAGAAGACATGTACGACCATCAAATGTTACATTTTCAATTTGCATGACGAGCTTGGAGTTGCCTTCTCATTGGTCTATTGCATATCTTCCATGCTCGAAAGAGCCTCATTTGCACTTAGCCAAGTACTCCGTAAGTCCATCCGCTATATCGAGTTGGTCGGTCACTCCTTTGCGCCAGGATTTCTTTCCCTGGCTTCCGTAAAGCCATGTGAAAGTCCGATTAATACCTGGGTTTGCTCGCTGGGAATCTTGGTTTGACCTAATACCTCGTCGTTCCATTCAAAAGCCAAGCATGCAGTGGGCGTTGATCACTCTGGCAGGAGCCCTGAGCTTCTCAGGAGTATCAGCTCTTATTGACTCAGCAATCGATACCAAGGTCATCGCGCATCCACGAGCACACCTTTACGGTACAGGTAATATCGTGAACACTGTCGCACAGCAGTTCGAGGAGCGTAATGCTACAACACCAAACCTCGACTCCCGCTCTTCTCACCACCTATTACCTCGGCAAGCGGCAGGCCGTTGCGGTGCTGAGTTCAGCAATCAGAGATGTGGTGGTAATCAATGCTGCTCAAGTTATGGTTACTGCGGATCAGAGTTCGAGGTACGAATCTTCGCCCCAAGATCTCGATGTTCTACATGCTGATATGGGTTACCTTAGCACTGTGGCATCATTGTCGGATGTCAGCCTGACTTTGGAAGGTGTGGTGATGCAGCACCAGGGCCAACCACTACGCCAACGCCAACTCCCACGCCTCTGCCGCCAACAAGCTCAGTCACTGTCCCTTCAAGCTCGTCGGCTCTACCGCCGCTGCCCTCCGGTACTCTGATTCCCTCCACGAATGGGCAATGCGGAAACGTAACAACATGTGCGGGCTCCGTCTTCGGAAGTTGCTGCTCGGAGTACTATTACTGCGGCAACTCCCTTGACTTCTGCGGCACTGGGTGTCGCCTCGGCTTTGGAAGTTGTGGTGGTGTGGCACCACCACCGCCGCCGGGCTCTTCTTCCTCGATCCCTATCCCTGTTCCTCCTAGCAGCTCCTCAACCAGGCCATCGCCCACTCCTACTCCCACTCCAACAACGACACCAACGCCTAGCCCAACCTCTTCTGCGGCACCTATTCCGACCAATGTCAGTACCAACGGACGGTGTGGAGCAGATGGGAGTGGCCAGACTTGTACGGGCAGTACTTTCGGGAGATGCTGTTCGAGCTATGGATGGTGTGGCAATGGGCAGGATGACTACTGTAGATTGTCGTGGGGTTGCCAGCCGCAGTTCGGGACATGCGGCTAGTAAAAGCTCTCCATAACGTGTGGCAAGATCGAACGAGCTTGTGAACAGGGGTAGTGAATACTGGAGCGGAGTCCAAAGACTGTGTATACTCGAGTGGTGAACTGTGTATAGCCTGTGCGAGTTTGTGTATTCCATTCATCGATGACTGTCGTATTACTGGAATGTATATTTCAGTCTCAACTCCCCAGTATAAACATCCTTCGTGAGAGCCTAAGATCATTCTATCTTGCTTCTTAGCCATTGCGCACTGGGTAGCGTCACTTAGACAAATTCGAAGTCCCCAATCTGTCTCCGCCGCGGAGAATGTCATATTACGTGCGATAGTGAAGTGAAAGTGACATTAATGAGAAACGCCACCAAAATATTGAACTATTTCACTGATATCATGACGTCTTTGGCGCTCCTGCCAAATCCAATAGTAGAAGTCTGCATCGATCGCCAAAGATCTAGGCATTGCTTTGGAGGTCTGCAGGGGGAGATGAAGAGCTGTCCGGTCTACTGGTACGATGAACTTTCCTTGACACTGGTTCTTACCGATGGCATGGTGCTATGTTGTCAGGTGGCTCTTACGATTGCGTGTGAAACGTGAAACTCTAATTGGCCGTAGACCCGTGCTTGATGACAGCGCACGCTGGGATGAGACCATTTTTGCTATATGCTCACATGGTACTTCCCAGCATTACTACGGATGTCGGCGACGTTCAGCGTAGTAACATCCCTGACGGGAAGAATCGGCTTCGGTAGCCCTAGACAGATGGGCAAGAGCCTGTAGCGCTTCCAACTCTGAGCGAACGACAGCATTGTGGTGCAACTCAGGTCGTATTTTTGCGCAACCCGCTTCGTAGCCACATAACTTTGCAACAGCGCCTGCATCCATGAGACAAGGATACTAGTATGTTAGTATGTTCCACGATCGCTCAAGAATCTGGAGATGTTACCTTGGCAGGCTAGGTGGAGAAGGAGAGAGTTTACCATTAACTACGTCGTCATTGGTACAGTGCGTTTCGACCGAGGCAACTTTCCATATTTCCTACACCCAGGTTTCTTGACAAATAACGGCTAAGGGACCCTAAACAACACCAGACGGCAACCTTATGCCGATCTCACGATGAGTTGGGATGGAGGAAGATCGCCGTTCGTCATGATTGGACAGGGGATTTATCCTGATGGTCCGGGCTGGCCTACATCCGACTAATACCCCTGGCAAGGACCGCCAACTACCGCATCCTGCATACAAATTTCAGCCAGGTCTTAGAATTTTGAAGACCTTAGTGCACATATTTCACAGGTAGTTCACGTTTGGCGCGGATGGCGGTTGCCTGACATTGGCCACCGTCCCACATTGTTCACCATCTGACCCTCTTTCTTCGGGCACTACCCCGGACCCCTTTGTAATAGTTCGACTGGCAGAGTTCAGATCGAGGATGAGCCGCGAATCAGAGATGACGGGTTGTCATCTACACCCGGCCCTTCATATCCAAAAGCGTCCCTGAGAGATGACCAGCGCACGTTGTGTACTATCGACTACAGAGATCGACAGCGGGGTTCCTGTTCAGCAAGCTGGTGAACCGCGGTCCTTTCACACGACACGTCGCCGATGCGCGTCATCCAGGATACTCGGTAATAAGAGATTCGATGGCGATTGCTGAATGCGTTGCCTGTAGAGCAGTATATAGTATGCCCAACCACTCCGTCTACACTTCATTGTCAGCATCAAGCCTATTCATCAATCACAAACATGCACTTCTCTTCTCTTCAACTGGCTTTGGTTGCCGCGGCGCCTCTCGTCTCTGCCTGGCCAACGGCCATCTTGGAGGCTGCTGGACATGACTCTGAGCTTCTGAAGCGCGCCGAGGAGGCCGCGAGGTTGGTAAAACTGGAAGGACGTCAAGCTGGTGCCGGTGCTGCAACAGCTATCTTCGAACCAGTACCCATCTTCAACGCAAAGGCGCAATACATCAACGTCACTGCTGGCAGTGGTCACGAGTACGTTGCACCAGGGCCGAACGACCTCAGAGGACCATGCCCGGGTCTAAACGCCTTCGCCAATCACAACTTCCTCCCCCACAACGGATACGCCAGTGTTCAACAATACATCGACGTAACACAAAAGGTCGTGGGCATGGGACCCATTCTTTCGACCTTCCTTTCAGTTCTCGGTGGCGCCCTCGACGGCGACCTGTTGAACTGGTCAATTGGCGGCACGCCATCTCTCGCCCAGGGAGGTCCAACAGGAATTCTAGGCAACGGGTTGACCGGATCGCACAACAAATACGAAGCCGATGCATCACCAACACGGCCCGACCTTTACCAGGCGGGTAACAACTACAAGACTGTCACTAGCCAGTTCCAGGAATTGATCGACTACTCCCCTGGTGGTGTGGTTACCCTTGAGAGCTTGACAAACTTCAGAAGCCATCGATTTGACGTTCAGAAGCAAACTAACCCCAACTTTTTCAATGGGCCGTTCTCGGGCGTGTTGGTGCAACCTGCTGCGTACACCTTCATCTTCCGCTTCATGGCCAACCACACCGCTGAGAACCCCACTGGTATTCTCCCATACGATGTCATCCAATCTTGGTTTGGAGTTCAGGGTACGAACGGAAACTACAACGCAGTGCAAGGCTCGGAGCGCATCCCAGAGAACTGGTACCGACGTGCTCTTGAATATCCATACGAGACCACATACTTCCTTGCGGATGCTGTCAATGCTGCTGTTCTCCACCCTAAGTTTCTCGATATCGGTGGAAACACTGGCACACCCAACTCCTTCGTTGGTGTTGACGTAGCTGACCTGACCGGTGGTGTTTTCAATGGTGCGTCACTCCTTGAGGGGAACAATCTCGGCTGCTTTGTCTACCAGGCCTCAGCACAAGCCAAGCCAGACATCCTTCTTGGACCTCTTAACGCACTCACCAGTGCCGTTGGAGGCCTTGTTGGACAGTTGGGTTGCCCGAAGTTGGCCGCCATCGATAAGCAAGTTCTTCAACAATTCCCCGGTTACACTAAGTCACCCGTTTATGGTTAGGACGAACGAAACAAGAGGTCATAGGAGTAGCTAGTAGAACAGAGAGTTCCAATGCTCTGATAATTAGTAGAAACGAAATTAATAATTTGCAACGACACTTGAGCTTGTCTTCGTGATGACCTCGATTATGTAAACCATGAACGGGCAACTCCTCATATACACGTATCTGCTAGGCAAAGCTGTCGGTAGGTTTTGCTCTTATGCTGTCTGCTTCTCTCCATCAATGAAGTCGCGAATAGTCTGCTCAAGCCCAACATCTTCGCTAAAACCCAATTCTCTTGCTCTCGCAGTGTCGTACTTCGCTGGCCAGCTCAAAACGATCCTCTGTGTCGTCTCATCCCTCTTCTCTTTCACCAAAGCTCTTGTCTCCTTGCCCGCAACTCTCTCCAGGGCATCCAAAATTTCTCCACTCGTTGCTGTATAACCTGGCAGTAGTACCTGCCTAAAGTGCCCAAATTTCTCCGCTGGTACCTTGATGGCATGTACAAGGTTTGTCGCGAGTGTGCGTGGCGAAGTAAGCCAGATGCCAATACTTGGGTCGACTGGTAACTCCGACTCTTGTCCATGTATTGGCTCGCGTACGATACCCGAGACGAATGACGAAGCTGCTGCAGTAGGTGCGCCAGCTCTGACAAAGACAGTTGGAAGACGAACGACGCGTCCGTCGATGAGCCCGCGTCGTGAATAATCGTTAAGGAGGAACTCAATCATGAGCTTCTGGGTGCCGTAACTAGATTCAGGCATAGGCACGATGTCCGTCTCTGTTGCCACATTCTCAACGGCCTTCCGCCCAAAAACTGCGCAAGAAGAAGTGAAGACCACTTTGATTCCTGGTCGCTTGGTCCGAATGGTGTCCAGTAGTTGGCGCACAGACTCAAAGTTGACTCTAAGACCTAGCTCGAGGTTTGCTTCGCTACCGCTCGACATAATGCCATGGAGAATGTATACAGCATCTGGTTGTTGAGCGATGAGATCTTCGCATGCTGATAGTGATGTGAGGTCCGCCGCAGTACATTGTACGCTCTGTGACGATGTTGGATTTGGAGGTGGATTAATGTCGGCCAAGATGAGTGCATCTGCGGTATTTGATTCGATCAGTCTTTTGGCCAAAATTTGGCCGACAAAGCCGCCGGCTCCAGTAATAAGGACTTTCATGCCGAAATTTGAACAACGAACTTAAGTCAGAATAATGCCACGATTTCCGGGGTTTGATTTTCGTAAAGCCGTTGGAAGATGCCGCACTTATGATGCTTGCCCGTTCGGTGAGGATCCCGAGTACAAAGTGGGGAAAGTGTGGGGACGGCGCCTGCCCCGGATAATCATCGGCCGAGCTTGTACCTTCTCACGAAGGATGTGGAAGCAACACAGCTATGCGTTATCATCTAGACCTGCTTATAGGGTCTTGAAATTCTTCCTAGTGTTCTGACTCTGCTAGATTACAAGATGTCTCTAAGTATCTTGACGGTGGTGACAGCATCTAAGAATTCGGCGAAACCTCTGCGTTGCAACCCTATCGGTCCAAGAGCCCCGATGCGGTGCATGGAGCTATGACATCGCTAGTGACGATGTTGATCCGTGATTCTTTGGGGGAATTGGGAAAAGTACAAATTAAAAGATGGGGTCTGGGGTAGAAGCGATTCGCAACTCCGCAATCCTTCCGTTATGGCGTTCGCTGCAACACTTCTCCTGGGACTCAGCCAGCTTCAAGCTGTGACTGCTGTCAGCTCTTTGAACATTGACACAACTTCCGGACTAGTTCAGGGCTTTACTGATGACATCACGCCAAATGTTGCACAGTACCTCGGTATACCGTTTGCGGAACAGCCCGTAGGAGCACGACGCTGGCTGCCTCCAGCCCCAAAGTCTAAAGAAAATGCAACCATCAAGGCGACCGATCTAGGACATGCTTGCCCCCAATTTGAGGGCAATGCACCTAATGTCTGGCTCACAGACGCACCGGAATTCATTATTCAGCCGCGGGACTACCAAGGTGAGGACTGCCTAAACCTCCACGTTTGGGCTCCCTTGGATCGATGTGAAGAACCATTGCCAGTAGTGGTTTGGATTCATGGAGGAGGATTCGTGACGGGTGGGCCCACGGTACCATACCAGAATCCTGCCCGATGGGTAGAGAGGTCAGGGGATCACATCGTTGTCGGAATCAAGTGAGTCTGACTCTGTAGAGTTGATTTTACATAAGGTTTACCAGAGTAACAGTTACCGTTTGAACATCTTCGGTTTCCCCAATGCCAAAGCGCTTGCGGATGACGAACAGAACCTGGCCTTCTTAGACCAGCGCCTCGCTCTGGAATGGATGTAAGTGCTCAGACAGGAATCCAAATAAAGCAATGACTGACTTATCAAGTCGCGACAATATCGGTAATTTCGGGGGTGATCCAGACCGTATTACTCTTTGGGGCCAGTCCGCAGGTGCCATCTCCGTCGACTACTACAACTTTGCTTACCCAGAAGACCCTATCGTTTCAGGCTTGATCATGAACTCCGGATCAGCATTCTTGTCGATTGCTAGCGCTGATACACAGCAATCGAACTTCACATTCGTCGCTCAGCACTTTGGCTGCAATGATGCCGACGCGGATGCGGAAATCGACTGTCTACGAAAAATTGAATCTAGTGACATCGAGTTGTTCCTCAAAGGGTACTCCGACAATGGCACGGCACCTGGGCTAAGCTTCGTCCCAATAGTCGACGACCGTACGGTTTTCGCAAACTACACAGCACGTGCTCTTGCTGGTAACTTTACGCGTAAGCCGGCGATTATTGGTACAACGACCAACGAGGGTATCGCATTTCCGCCGTATAATCAAACATATGGTCCGGATCAAGCGCAAGCAGACGCTACGACTGCTTCGTTATTCCTGTGCCCTGTCACACAGACAACCCACGATCGTAATGCAGCCAATACCACAACATTCCGCTACCTTTACGGCGGAAACTTCAGCAATATCTCCCCGCAATTCTGGGAGGGTGCATACCACTCCTCTGATCTTCCATTGTACTTTGGCACCTATGGTATCGCGAGAGGTAACGGTACGGATTTCGAGAGAGAAGTAAGCGAGCAGGCACAGGATTACTATCTTGCCTTCGCCAAGGATTCGATCAATGGGCTACCAGAGTCGGGATGGAAATCGTACGCTTCGAGTGGTGAAGGGGTGTTGCTTGCATACGATGGAGAGGTTGTGCAAAGCATCGACGCAAGCGTGTTGGAGAGGGCTTGTGATGGGCTGACGCCCAATGGCAAGCCGCTGCCGCCTTGAAGAAAGATGGAGTATCACCGGATGGTTGGAAAGCAAAAGCACTACGGCAGGCGTGGCATTTGCTTTTTCCCCATAGACACCCTCCAATGCTACAATGTGATACATCGTCGATACACTCTGTGCCAAGTTGTCAGCCTTCAAGGAATCGATTGCTCAGGCGGCCTAAGATCCGTCTCCCCGTCCTTGCTTGTCTATCTCTCATATCTCGTATCGAACTCGGTGTGATGTCTAGATGCGGTTGAAGGACAAGCCTTAAGACATGGATGTATGCAGCAAATACTGGGTATTCGCAACGAGACGAGAGGACAAGTCTCGGCTGCAGACGCCCTCGCGAACATCAGGATATGGCTTAAGCCAACGAGATGCATTGGTTGCCGGTGTGATAGGACCGACCCGTGGCATCTTAGACCCTTGGTGTCTGACAGCGGCCCGTAAAAGCAGATCGAGTTCTCATGCACGTCGTTTGCACATGGCCAGCCACCAAAGACGGTTCGGTATAACCGACGTGAGATATTCACAGGGGTAAATGTTTGCTTCTGGTCGATTAGCGACAGCGCCCCAGTCGTCTCCGCGCGGCCAGGGTCATGATGCGATGATCTCCAATTGCAAGATGACCGCAGCAGGAGCGTGCATGATGGGTGAAAAGGGAAGTGTGGCGTCTTTGTGGCGTATTGGATTCAACGATCAGCAAAACACGTGGAATTGAGACGCAAATAGCCAAAGCATCAGAAACGGTTAGAAAAACTTTCAGAGTGAATTGATGGGGTCTGGTGAGCCAAGACCCTGAGGAAGTTGCAGGTGGCTGAAGCGCGAGAAGAAAGCGCGACACGTGTCTGTGGCTTCAACATGTGGCTTTCACTGCCAGTGCGGGGTTTAACCTTTGAACTTGCAGCACGGCGCGTTTGAGAAGTGACGTCAACCTGGGTCTTTCCAAGATCAGGTAACAACGAGCAGGAACAACACGTGGTGGAGCGTGCCAATTGACGAGCTTCAAAACTGGCGATCAACCTTCCTTGAGCTTCTCTTCAACCAGACTCTCTACCTTCCGAACCCTATCACCTCTGAGCACGAACTAGTACTGTTTCGAGCTACAATACCTACGAAGCTTAATCGCCACCAAACAGAACGCGAAGACCAGTTGAACATCATGGCTAACCAGGCGCCTGCATCCCTTGTCGATGTGTTGACCGCCTCAGGTGGTGCTGAACCAGCCGGTAAATGATACCAGCAACTGTCGCACCGCATGTACTAACTGGTATAAATCAGGCTTCCTTAACGACATCGTCAAGAACCTCTGGCCAAACATCTGCGTTGCGGTCTCTAACATAATCAAAGAAACTGTTGAGCCTATCCTCGCCTCAACTCTACCTGGTCCTCTTGGAAATCTGCGTTTCACCAAGATCGACTTTGGACATATTCCTATTGGCTTCTCCAACGTGGACGTTCACAAGACCAAGACCGATGGCATCAAGCTCGACATGGATATGGACTGGGAGGGTGTGTGTGACTTTGAGCTCGACGGAAAGATGGTTCCGAAAGTGGTATGTTTCGAATATGATAGACGTGATTAGCTGAGCGGTGACTGATGTGGCGTGCAGGGTGTTGAGAAGGTTCACATGAAGGGCCGGATCAGTGTACTCTTGTGCCCGTTGACAAACGTCATTCCCTTGGTATGTGCGAACTCTACCCTCAAGCCATCTCGAATGCACACTGATGCCAAAACTAGATTGGTGCAGCACAGATCGCCTTCCTCAACACACCAAGCCTCAAGCTTGACTTCACCGACGCCGCCAATATTGCCGACTTCTCTGTTATTGACAGCACAGTCCGCAAAACCATTCTTGGTATCATTGATGGAATGGCTGTACTGCCCAACCGCTTCCTTGTCAAGATGACAAACGACGTCGACTATTTCAAGGCCCACCAGCCTCACCATGGTATTATTCGTATCACGGTAGCTCGAGCAACTGGAATTGATACTCCCAAGAAGGGTGAGAAGAAGAGCACAATGAGGAAACTGCTCTCTAAGGTCAAGCTGGAAGATGTACCGGATTGCTACGTCAAAGTCAAAGTAGGTGCCGAAGCGGAGTGGAAGACAAGCGTTGTGGATAATAACCACGAGCCCGAGTGGAATGAGACGCACGACTTCTTGGTATCAGATTACGAACAAGACATTTCTGTGGATATTCAGGATGACGACTTAGCTGGTGACGACGACATGGGTGTCGGCTCGACCACTGTCAAGGAAATTCTACTCAAGGGCGGTTCGCAGGATCTGAGCCTCTCACACAAGGGCAATGCTACCCAGGCACGACTACTTATACATGCCAAGTTCTTCAAATTTGTCACCGACGCGCAGGCTCTCTCTTCCGCCAACGCTCAAGGCCAAGCTGAGGGTCAGATCTGCGGTCTGGCCACTGTACTCATTGCTAGCGCCAACGGACTCCAAGGCAACCGTGACGAGCTCAACCCCAGCGTCAAGGTCACTTGGGGTGACCAGACCTTCCAAACCGCGGTCAAAACCTATACTCCTGGCACCGATATCTTCAATCCAGCCTTCGACCAAGCATTCCGTATCCCTCTCACTGCAGCGATGTTGGCGAACCCAGGAGCATTCAAAATTGCGCTGCTGAACAAGGAGGTGGAGTTTGGAAGTGCGCAAGTGGGTTTCCAAGATGTGATGGGTGCGGAGGGTATGGCCATACGGGACAGTTTCGATGTCGGAAACGGCGCCCAGGTTCGAGCTGCGATCATGCTGAACGGTGTCAAGTTGGCCGAGTAAAGAAATGATTGGTGGTGAGAAAGATGACTGATGGTGTCATGTGACCGGGTGTGGTTTATAATGACAAGAACATTATACCAGCTAGCAAAAAAGACATAGCAAGATGTGCACCCAAATACCATTGTATACGTTTCCAGAATGCCTGCTAAACACGTACGCATATGTATACCTTAACACACTCTCAACACAATCACATCGTCGCCCCTGCCGCTGTGTCCCCGTCGACATCCAGGATTGCGCCTTCTTCCCCATTCTTTGGTTTTACCAATTTGATACTTACGTCAGGATCCTGACTATAAACTCTTAGGCCTAGCACACAGACTGCGTTCCATGGCTTAGGCTGTTCCTTTGCAGGAGTAGCTTGTGGAGGTGGAGGGGCCACTTCGCCAGAAGTAGCATACCGTGGGAAGCCGCGGTAGTCTGGTGGTGGTGGTGGTAGAGGGCGGTAGTGTGATGTGATCGAGTGTTGTGAACGCATGACGCGGGCTTGAGGAGATGTGCTGCTGCTGTGTTCGGGGTTGTCGCTTTCGGCATCGTTGGGGTGGACTTCAGAGGTGGGTGTATGGTTTGCGTCTCCATTGTCACTGGAGTCGCGTGGTTCGAGTGCGGGCTCAATGACTAGCTTCGTTTCTTGCAGGGCTTCTTTGCTTTGAATCGGGAGTTCGATGGGAGCCTTTGCCGTGCCTTCAGTATCAGATGAGGTGGTTTTGTCCGCGTCTTGCTTAGCTTCCTCGATCAAACCAGTGGTGGGGCCAGATTGCTTTGTGGCTGAACCCCCGTCGCCACGTTCTTCCTCAGGTTTGCCAGATTCTTCAACCTTTTCTTTCATCTCATGCTCTTTTTTCTCCTTCTTCCATGTCTCATATTCGGCTCTCTCTTCTTTCTTCCAAACTTCGAAATCAGCTTTCTCTTTTCTCCAAGCTTCAAATTCGGCCCTCTCCTTCTCTTTCGCTTCCTCCTTCTCCTTTTTCTTTTCAGCCGCCTCCTTCCTCTTTTGTTCCTTCTTCTTCCGCTCTTCTTCGGTGAGTTCGAAGATACCTTTAGCATTTGCAATGTCGTAGTTCAGGCCGATCTGCCTAAGCTTCTGCGGGTTGCGCTCCGCGAGCTTGGTAACCACTTCGGGAACATCTGGAGCATCTGCATTTCTTGAAGCTTCGATTTTCGGTAGAACTTCGTACACTCCAGCATCGAGTTCGACTTCAGCAGAGATACTACGGTTTCCGAACCAAGCACCGCGAGCACGCACAATATGGTGACCTGGTTCCGCATTCTTCTCTTGCAATATGAAGTGCAGGTCAAAGTCGTACTTGCCTTCCAAGCCCTTGAAGTAGCGTTCATCCAGCTATGAGAGATTAGCGAATATTGTGAATGACAATGTTTCATAACTTACCTGACAAAGGACAAACACGGTGGGCCCAGACTTCTTGACCTCTACAGAGAACTTCGTATTCACATAGCCTGTGACCCAAGCAACTGGAACGCTTGTCCATCGCTGCACTACAGTCCATTCCTCGTTGAAGAGAAGCGTACGATCAAGAATATCAAATCGCTTCAACAGATCCTTGTACGACATCCAAAACAGGCCATCGTCTCCGAACTTGTGGCCCAACTTGTCTAGCCAGTAAGTCGTCCATTCGCGAGACCCGTCAGACCATGGCCCTGTCCACTCTCCCATAGAGGCATTTACCCGTTTGCCCCAAGGATTGCGAATCAACACCAGCTGGTGCTTCGTTCCATCTTCTCCTTCAGCTTCCACCGCTTTGATGACCGAATAAGCGTGATTTAAAGCGAGACCCCGTCGAGCGTCCGAGTCATCACCATCAATGCTAGGCGATGATGCTGAGAAGAGGAACTTCTTGCCGGCTTGAAGCAATTCTTCCCACAGCCGTTGCTTATCCAGGACCCGATCAGTGAGAATCTTGGTTGTTACGCCACCAGTCAAATCTTCTACTGCTTCGCCACTCCAGCCACCAGCAATAGAATCATAGTCCCCGTGCACTGGGGTTTGTTAGCAGATTGCACTTATACTCTGAGTAATTGCCATCAGCAAAAGTCCTTCATACCTTTAGCGTAAGCTTTCTCCAGCAACGGGAGCCATGTCTCGTTCTCATCAGCACATGAGGCGAAATATAGCGCTTCAGATCCAGTCTGATGATTATCCTTGTACTTCTTCTCTTTGGCATTCGTTGGATCGTAGCGGTCACCCCAAGCGGCGTCGAAATCGCTATTTCGGAGGTACAAGTTGTCATCGACGACGGTCCAGATCCACTCGCCATCCCTGTAAAACACAAAGCCATAGACACCACATATCTCGTCTCTAGCGACACAGATCTTATCCATCAAGTTTGGGTTGCTGCAGATGGTTGCAACAGCAGCAATACTTAGTGTAGGTGTACGAAGTCAGTGTATGTCTCACATACAATTCGTACAGAGATACTTACAACCAGCAGTCGCCACTCGAGCCTTGTCGTAGATCGGAGCTGGAGAAGCCACCAAATACGAACTTTGGCTCATCAAAGATCCAATCAATGCGATGCACGGAATTTGGACCATCTTTACTGCTGCTCGACCTGTTGGTCAACAGCTTCGCCGTGGCATTGAAGTCGAATGCGGCGCCATCAGCCATAATCACGCCACTTTGAACCAGAGTTGAGAGAGCATTGCCAAGTCGGGATGCGCTCACTGATGATGATGCTGTCGCTGGTTGGTCTTTGTACCAAGTCATAAGACCGTTAAGGCAGTTTCTGTCCGATAGGTCTTCGATATCAAAGTCTGCATCTGTAAACTTCTCATTCGTACGTTTGCATTCTTTGACAATGCGTTCCACTCGAGCGCGGCATTGTGCAGCCGCTGTTTCGTAAGATTCAGCCGCATTCTTTCCTGTGACTGTACCCTCTTTTCGCTGTGGTGGGAGTAGGTGCGCATACAAGCTTGACGGGAAGATTTTGGTCACTTTCGCTGGCTGTTTCGTGATGAGGTTGTCCCAAAACTCGTTGATGGCTTCCTGGGGAGCGCCAATCTGCGCGTCATCGCTTGTCACTGAGGCCATGATTGCTTTCGCGTTATTGGAGGATTGGTGTTACACTGCGGCTGCACTGTCTTACCCAGAAAAGCAACTATATCGATACAGTAAAGAGCTGAGGTGGAGATCCTCCGAAAAGAGGGCGCGATAAGATTGAATCGAGGGAAGAAGATGCGAAAGCATTGAAAATAGATCTGCCTCGGAAACGTTGACTATATTTCGTCTTGAAGATTTGGGGGCCATAATGCCAGGCTTGCAGCATTGGCTGCTTACGGCGCCATGCGGCTGAACAAGACATCCAACTGGCTCACATGCTGCCTTCTGCGCATGATACTTCGTTGAATGATTGGAAGCTCATGATTCTCTATTGATCATGTAGCTGCGGTGGTGCCTCGAACTTGCGCAACATGGACAAGGTTGTCATTCTTTGCGCAAGGCAGCATCACAGGCCAGGTAACAACAGAGAATGCAATGAGGAAGGAGCATGCAGGGTGAGATACAGAGACCACTTAGCATCGTGCAGAGTAAGCGGTGCCGGGTGTTAGTCAACTTTGCTATGCAGACTGCGCTTTAGTATAGGCCACGAAGTGAGTGGATACGTGGCTGAAATCGCGGGGCTGGCTGGGCAAAAGAGGTGGCGGACTTTCGCCTCCCCCATCATTTTTGCCCTGTCCTAGGATTTGGGCTTCAGATTTTGTTTACTCATCAGTAACCTTGGTTCAATGCCATACATGGAAAACATCCGAGGCGTTCTCGGGATGCACGCTAACTGACCGACTGCTCTTTGTGACGGATGCATGGATGCGATGGAGCAGTGGGATTTTCCTCCGAGATCTCTGGGTGCGACTCATGAGCCTTGCTTCATCACTGAAAGTGCTGCTCATAATGTAGTTTGATAGGGGGGTTTCCAAATTGGTATCAGCATAGACTAGGCTCATGCCGCTTTGATATGACGAAGACATGCCTTTCGGATCCATCTCCCCTCGGCGGCAGTCGAGTCACTTCTATCAGGCCCGAATGCCGCGAAAGTATCCATCGCCTTGGAATCTGACTTTGCTGCGACACGACAGGACGGCTCGCGATATCTACTTTTCTCGGTCTCATGATGCGCGCTGAAACTACAATTATGCTGGGCCCTTGAGACGACGCGCCCATGCCCAGATCTCTTGGGCAGTCGATCGAGAATAGTGGGACTCGAAAGAAAGAAAGTTGTTGGCATTTAAGCGATGATCACGCGGTAAGCGTCTAATTTACCGCTGGGGATGAACTCTTCGACAGCTCGCGTTAGCAGCAGACAGGCCCACATATGACTTAGCATATAATACCGAAGCGATGTAGATGCCAATCTAGCAACATGGTATTGAGTGAGGCATTCGAGACGAGACCGAATCCTACAGCCATGTTAGTTAATACGGATGAGCTAGTTTGACATGGTATAGCACGAGGCGTTAACCGCAGCTCCTGCCGCAAATGCAGAGACTGGATGGGTCAGTGTGGTCGATCTGGGTATGATATGAAATAGTCTATTAAGCCGCCAAGGCGTGCCGCTCCATGGGTATGTGAAACAGCAACCCCCACCGATATGCATCTAGATGTACATGTAGCTTAAAGTAGACAATTGGGATGGCAATCCAGGCCTCCCGATAATACCGAAATGTTGTGAGAGAGAGAAAGTGAAGACATTATGGCTTGCTGGTTTGCACCGGTCGTTGTACTGTAAAGCGACAAAGGAGATTGAGGGCCGTGTGTAGTTCTCGGCCGTGGTATGCTTAAGGAAAACCAAATAATGTAGGATCTGGCAGACATGTTGGAACGGCAATCGCCATCGGGCTTGCTGTGCAGGCCCTGTTCAGCCTGAAACCCTTGCAAAGCGGGTACCCCTTTGCTTCTGTTCAGCGAGTCGTAAAGTCGATTCCTGCCAGGAATTTGGCCGTTTCGGGATATTGCCGCCCAGGAATGTGGTGAGACGAAAAGTCAGAATGCCTGAACGCCGTGCTAGGGTAAAAATGCTAACATGATGGGTGTTGAGTAAAATCGTGTCGGAGATGCGTGTCGTAGATTAATCTTGAAAGATCGTGAGTCGCCAATGACAGCCCGCATCTGGGTACCGGGATCTCGGGTGTTTGGATCGTAGTCGGCGATCTGTGCATTCCATCTGCAACCAACGAGTCAGCACCGACATACATCTTGCATGTTACGAAGGATCCTTCGCAACACCTTCGCACGTGCCGTGGGTCGAAGGTGCCATTTCCATCGTAGGGAGGAGCTTGGCCAACGGGTTGTTGTTGGACTTACCTATGCTTTGGCTGCGCAAGCCTGGCAAGTCTTGAGCTTGCATCGCTCGCACTCGTAGATAAAGGGAAGATTTTGGGCAAGGCACAAGTGACAGTTCCAGAGGACGATAGTGGTGTCCGACTTGATCAACTTGAAGCTATGTGAGCAGCCTGCGGGGCGAGCCATGGCGATGTAGGAGAGTTTATGGAAGGCGTGGGTTCAACGGGAACGACTGTCTGCATTGGAGAGTGAGAGGCTGAGGGCAGGAAGGGTAGATATAGTGACAGAGGTGAAGTACCGACCTGGATGCTTGCGGCAGGATACCGGTTAAGGCTAAGGTAGGATCGGACTGGAAAGCGAAGGTGTTCAGGGTATCTCGATCCGTGGCTGGCAAAAGCAAGCAAGGCTTGGAAGGAAACAGCAGTCGCTTGAGGGTTGGTCACTGGAGAAGGAACGATTTCAGGGTTTGCTTGTTGCTACTGCGAGGACGCTAATGACGCGGATCGTAGTCCGTCTTATACTGACTCTGGGAGATGCTGGGCCCAGTGGAGAATAAACTTTGGCTACAGGAAGAGCTGAATGCATTTCCACCAGGCGCGGTAGTGTACAACACGCAGCAGCGTGTAGCCGTCTCGCGGTCTTAGTATGCTGGACAGACTGCAACGAAAGCGGACGGGTGCTGTACAGATGAAGCAAAAGATGTACTTGATGGTAGCACGGCCAGGCCGGCTGGGGAGTTGCTCTCACTCGTCCAATACGAGGCTCTCTCAAAGGGAACGACATGGTGGGGTTGGTCAAACGCGGGCTGGCCGTTCCGCAGCCGCGGTCATGGTAGCATCTTGACGTCGCGAAGCCCCTGGTGCAGGGAAGGGCGCGATGTGAATGTTCCGAGAGACTTCGATGATAGCGCTGCCGAATTCTATGTGTCACACCAGACCGTGTCTGCATGCCGCAATTCTCTCATGGCACCTGTGCAGTCTGCTGCATCGAGAGACGCTTGCTGCGGTCCAACTAGGGGTCCCTTTTCGGCGGCCAGCCCGGCGCCTTCCAGTGCAACGAGATGCGGAAAGAGCTTAGGGCGCATGGGGTCGGTAAATTCAGGTTCGCACCTGCAGTCGCTCAGGGCTGCTCCTTCCCCAACGACCTTGTCAGTGCTCGTCACGAGTTTTTCTTTTCCGCCTCTGCGACATGGCCACCGGAGAATAGTCGCAAGCCAATCGCGTAAACTACCCGGCCCAACGACATGAACGACATGTCTGGCGCTATCTTGAGCCGCAAAGGCTGCATCGCGGTCCAGACACCAACTGCCTAAAACGTCGTCATGCATGCGCCTCCGCCCCGTTTCTTCTCCTCTCCACCTGTCTTCTTTCCTCTGCCAACGCCGTCATGACCTGCATGCCTCCACTGGAACCTCTCCCTGCGCCAACGTCTAGCGTCCACTGCCATACGTGAACATGGATCATCTACTCTCCGTCGTGCGCTTCCGGCCTCTGCATTGGGAACTGCCGTCGGCAATGTCGCTGGCCTTTCCCTTCACAGAATCTGTGCAGAGCCTGATGCACGTCGGTGCATTTGGTATTGCCTGCTGCATCAAGTCAACCTCCAGCCCGCCTCAGCTCCCTCGCGCGGCTACATACAGCCTCACCGCGCGCGTCTTGCTGTGGCGCGCAGATCCACTGCTGGCCACCAAGTACCTCTCCTTCGATGTCGATGCTGCATGTCTTGTCGTGCACATGCTTGGACCAAAACGGCAAGCGCCATCTATGAGGCTTGCGGGAGATCCACAATCAGATTCATCGGCGTTGCTTGCTTATGAGGTAAAGCATCATGACGTTCTGTCACAGTATGCAACCTCGTCCACCTGAATATTGCACAGTAGAGCCATGTAGCAACATCATAGCCAGCCGCAGCTGTCTGAAAATACCCTTGTTCGGCTTATATACTTGGAGCCTATATGTGTATCAGATACATGCCAGGAGAAGCTCGGTCATGGCTCGCTGGTCTGGAATCCTACCTGCCAGGTTGCCTACCAAGGTTTGGCGTAACGAATCGAAATACGGCAACGCGCTGTTCATAGTCCTTTTTCCAGATCGGCTGTAATCTCCATCGCACGTGTCGCGACGATCTAATCTGATACCCACATGTATTGTCACTTCTTAAAAGCATATTGAAGTACGCAATCGTCCAACGCTGACCCGGTTCAAGACAGATGATTGGAGCTAGATGCTCACTGCACACCCTCTTCGCTATACAATACAAGCCTCGATGGTACCTGACTGAACACCATGACGGGAACTATGTTTTGGAGGCGGCTGTTAAAGCCCTTCACTCGCTTGCATCTCTCGGTTACACCGGATCGGACTGAACCTGGCGCTCGGTGCCACAATGCAAGATCGGTGCAACCATCACGTCCGCCTGTGATCATGGCGCCCGTGTGGCGTTCTGCGTGTGGACGAATGCGCGTCAATCCTGAACGGGGCGACTTCCCCCTTCTCGCTAGCTTCATTGCCCACCTCAGGCATGCCCAGGAGGCTTGGCTCACCTCCACGCGACCTCTCAAATTTCATCCAGGCAAGCGCTTGCGAGGATTTTCGCTAGCTGTTTGAAAAGCCGCCGTCGCAGTGAGCCGCAATTTGGTTTACGGCTTGACATCATGGCAGCCAGACACGGTTGTAATGCGATCTAATTTCTCTACCATGCAGCTTCTTGCGCAGGCTTTCGTGATCGCCGAGGTCATCCCATGGTCGGCTTGACACTGTCTTTCCAAGATGCCCCCTCCTATGGACTAGGATTCAGAGCATAGTCTTCTGCGTTGGGTGATTCGTAATTGGTGATTCAACCGGGTCCGTTGAGTAATACCTGATCACACCACTTTTCATGACCAAGTACCAACAGGTTCGAGCACGCGTCAGACGGAGCACAGCATCTCACCCGCTCTCAAACTTCATCACAACCTCTAACCAGGCTCTTGGGTATGCGTTTCCGCGTCTATGGCTGCTCGATTGGCTGGGCGACCGCTATATGTTGCTGTCGTGTACGCCGTTTTTTGTCAAATGCAAAGGGCAAACCGCGCACCGCAACATCAAGGGGCATGTCAGCCATGGAATCACAGCTGAGACCCGGTCGTCGGAGGCGGACGACACAAACTAGTGTCCACACATACTGCGACCCAGACTACCAATCGAGGTATTCCTTTTCAGCCTTACCGCTCATCACACCAGTTGAAAATGATGGGGATCGAGGGGATCGTGATGATTCCACTATTTGTCTTATGGGGCGCCATTGTTCTTTTGCAGGCTTATGCCAGGGTAGGACAAGAGAAGTGCTGCTTTCTCACTGTTGCGCCCCACCACGCTCTTCTGTTTACCACATCCGCATCTGGCCACTCTTCCAATTACAGATATCAGGGTACGTACCTGCCATAGTGACACCAGCTCACCGCCTAAGTAGTGGCGTCTCTTTGTAGTGCGGCGAGGAAGATGGGGCTCCCAAAGCACTCACCACCCCGTTAGACAGCTTCTATGAATTAACGCCAAACAGGCCCTGATGGCTCAATCTTCACGAAGGGATGCCTCGAGAGGGGCCGCCACAATCTGTCTCAGTGATGTATGCAGGAAATGAGTGTAATGGTCATGGCTTCAATGGATTGACGTTGGATTTGGCGACTATACCTTGCGACTTGTGTGACTAAGGCATAGTTCAACGCGCGCTCTGATATACCTTGGATGACGCCTATGAAATTCTTTCGAGGAATATGTGGGGATCAGAGAGAAAGCCGAATGACTGCGACCCTGCCAGAATGTAGTCACAAATCGGTTGAGTTCCGGTGTGGGAACTTGTATAGTTTGAGTAACGTTCAGCACCAGGGCCACAGGAGCACGAAGCAAGTGGTGAGCTTGTGCAACACCCACTGCAGTAGGGCAAGGCTGTCTTAAACAGACAATTACTGACAGTATTGATGTATAGCTCGCGAACGGACAGCTGAAGGAATCAGCTGTGTGTCTGCTGAAACTGCATCATCCTGGTACGGCAAAGTCTCTTCTTCTTCCATCGAGCTGCGCTACCCGGTGACACAATGTATCTATGCTTACTTAGAAACCTTGAATCAAAGCTCTTCGGATTTCATGTGCTCTTCTACTTGTCCTTCCTTACAAATCTGTACTGCGAAGGCCAGTGCATAGCATATCACGTCTCTCGTGTATGCTCTGGTCATGGACGGATGTCGTAAGGCGGGGTCTCATGGACTGCAAGTACAAAGACGACTAAGTGCATCGTGCGCGCACCGTTGGCTAGGAAGCATTGTGATTCGATCGCGTGACAGCGCAGCAGCTTGTAAGACGCTTGGTCGACGAAGGCATATGCATAAAGACAGATGACAATCTTCCTGCCTAGTCTCCCGCTCCCGTAGTTCCTTAGATTGTGAGATGGTCGTTTGAGTCCTGCTTAATAACCCTGTTGTTCAGTCAGGCTTCTGGGCACGTTATTGATCGCGAGTCAGGCATCACGTTGGCTGGTAGCCATTTCCTTATCCGGCGAATAGAGTGGGGCTGAGCTAAACCCCTCAAGGGCCCGTATCTGAGCTAGGATGTCGAACAATTTTGACAGACACGACCGGCCTCAGCGGCCCTCACCACAGTTTGCCCACTACGAGAACGTCACCCTACTCGGTCCGCCCACCATGAGGGGCGCACTCGTCTTTGGCGGGTCTTCGCACCCAAAGCTCGTCGAGGGTATCTGCGACCGGCTGGGCATGAAGCCTGGCTCTGCAACCCTGGGCAAATTCAAGAACGGAGAGACTTCCGTTACCATTCGTATGTCTGGCCACCACTCTGGCGTTCCTCAGGTGCTAACTGTCTGCAGACACTTCAATCCGGAACAAGGACGTCTTCATCGTCCAGAGTGGAAGCGAGAAGTGCGTAGCCCAGCCTTCTTAAGCGTCAACGGCTAATGGGTCAGAATCAACGACTCGATTATGGAGCTGCTGATCATGATCTCTGCCTGCAAAGGCGGCTCAGCCAAGTCGGTAACAGGTACTTGGCCTCTGAATGGGCTCAATACCAGCTACTGACACCACTAGCCGTCATGCCCTACTTCCCATACTCGCGCCAGTCCAAGAAGAAGCAGCACCGCGGGGCCATCACAGCCCGTATGGTCGCGAACCTTCTTCATATCGCCGGTGTCAATCA